CGATCCATCTCGCTCCTGTGCTTAAACTTATCTCGTCGCTCCATCTCCATGGTGGGCTTACGTTTTAGGCACGTTCCATAACCAGCCTCATCCCTTGGCCATCATCCCTTATGGCAATGTGTCCTGCCCAATTCTACTTACTCTTTGAAACGGTCCACATGATGTCTCTAATTTACATTGGTTCTCTGAGTCATGTATTCCACTTTCATCTCTTTAAGTGAATGTCGAGGCATACATCATTCCCGAATACTTTGCATGGTTTTCTTACCCTGCCTGCAATATACAAAGACAAAGATTCCCCCCGTATAGCCTTAACAAAATGTTGGGGCAAGTGCTGTTAGCGAGCACACGAGGGGGTGGGTGGTCAGCACCACGTCCGGTCGCCTTTGTTTCCCTCGTGCCAATGTTTACACACTGCAGCAGGTACTCATTTGAGGCTGAGTTGACCTAGGGCAGGCCCAGTACTGGTTCATATAATCGTCACTGGTGTTGGCCATGAGCGGGAATCGAACTCGGGGCGCCGTGTTCACAGCGCAGTGCGCTAAACACTGCGTCACCGTTCCCCACAACAACACCAACAACCGCCATTCGCCACTAAGTGGCGGTGAAGTCACCACGGCGCTTGTGCCAGGCTATGTGCACGTTGAGGCTACATTCATTGCCACTTTCGCCAAGTGGTGGCGGCTATGCACGTGGCCTGTAATCCAGCACTGTGAAGGCAGGTAGGGTTGATGGGTCACATCGATGAGGTGCCATACCCTGGCTCGTCAGGAGAGAGGGGGGGTACAGCAAATGTGGACTCCACCTGTTCCATCTGTGTGAGTTAGAGTGTCCCCACCTCCCCTCGCGAGTGTCGGTTTTTCTCCCACATGGAAAGAACACACTCATTAATTGGCCGACAATACCTTAGTAGCGGTTAAATTTCGACTTAAAGCTTTCGTGACTGCAGGGATTCATCTTCTTGGTTCTTTCGGTAAAGTCACGTAGAAGGCAAATAATAAAATATTAAAAATAAAACAAAATAAAATAATTCTCACGACGTTTCGGCCACAACGCAAGCAGCCGTCCTCAGGTGAAGAACAGGTCTGCCGAAACGTCGTGAGAATTATTTTATTTTATTATGTTTAATTTTTCTTATTTTATTATTTCCCTTTTACGTGACTTTACCAAAAGAACTAAGAAGATGAATACCTTAGTACACAGAGGACCGCAGAGCTTGGGGGAGAATTTGTCGCTGGCTCGCCGCGTGTCTGCCTTGCCCGCTGGCCTGGTTCCCTCGCGCCTCTGGGTCCGTTCTCTCTTCAAGAGTTGAGCGACGACTGCACGGCACGTTACAAGTAGTGAAGTCACTTGTATTATTAATATTTCTCGCACGCAATCGGCGTTTTATCAGCAGCGCCCGCCAACTGCCAGGGAGTTCTCGTCGCTTCTGCCGGGATTCCGCCCGTCTATCGGAAATCCGCGCGTTAGGTGCAGCGTCCCGTTGCCGCGAGCGGGCAGCGAAGGCGGCAGGTGGCAGAGCCAGCTGGGGAAGATGGATTAAGCGGGTCACTGGATCTGGGTGGCGTCCAAAGGACAGGCGAATGGGTGGGCGGTCAGACGGGCAGTCTGCCCGGTATCTGCTTCTCCTCAAAACGAAGGGAATTGAATCCGCGTCTCTCGCAGTGTCCTTCGGCTCAGGATCGGGATCTCATCTTCGTTGTCATGATATGGGAAGAAATAAATATTGATCACCCTCTTTTTGCCGTCGGTAAACCGCTGCTGGGGGTGGGAGCGGCGCTGCGGAGGGGGGCAGGTGGGCAGAGCGCTGCGTTACGAACCCAAGTGACCCGAGTTCATTTCCCGGCCTAAAACCAGTGGTGAGTGATGTCTGAACTTTAAAGGACTTCCACTTGACCTTAAAGGAGTAACTAGTGCGGTAAGTAAACATCGCCGCTTAGAGGCCGCGTGTGGCTTTGACCGGCATCACTCGCTCGTGTGCCGAGACGGCCTTAACAGGTGTTCGCTAACAGCACTTCCAACCAACAAACTGCAAGGCTGTGTAGGGGGTTCTTTGTGCGTGCGTCTCTATGTGTGTGTGTGTGCGTCTAGTCTAGAGGAGAGCGGTGGTTAGCGTGCTGCGCTATAAACCCGGCAACTCGAGTTCGATTCCCACTCACGAGCCACCAACACCAGTGGCGACTATCTGAACCGGTCCTGGACCTCTCCTTGCTCGACTCAGCCTCAAATGAGTACCTGGTGCAATGTGTAAACATCGTGTGCCATGCTGACCTTCATAGGTGCTCGTTAACAGCACTTGCCTTACAGTCTGTTAAGGCAATAGGGGGCATATTATATTTTGTTTTTACATCTCGCCTAGACCTAACTGTCCCCACGACATACATACACATTAGGCTTGGAACTCATTGTGATTCTCAATCTGCTTGTGAAGCAATCTAACCGTGCACTGCCACTGCCTGGCACTCAGTGGCATGTATTTAATCTTGCAGGAGCACCGGCGGTGCCTGCATGGCTATCGTCGTCACACGCATCTTTGGCCACGCTGTTGTTGTTGTTGTCCATAGCACATGTGATCCCGGAGGAATACGAAGCATCGCGCGACCAATTCTCCATCCGTGCGGGCGCGTCGTGTTCAAGAGTTGAACCCGGTTCGCCGAGGATCGTGTTGTGCAGCGCGCTCGCCATAACCGCTGCGACACCGCCTCACAAACAAAACAAGGATCCCCCGTATAGCCTTAACAGACTTGTGGGGCAAGTGCTGTACTAAGAGTAGCACCTATGAAGGTCAGCACGGCACACGATGGGGGTGGGTTGCCTCCGCAACGCCCGGCCCGCCTTTGTCTCCCTGGTGGCAATGTATTCACATCGCACCAAGCACTCGTTTGAGGCCGAGTCGACCTAAAGGAGCTCCAGCAGCGGTTTAGATAACGGTTACTGGTGTTGGTCGTGAGCGGGAATCGAATTTACGCCGCTGGGGTTTGTAGCGCAGCGCGCTGACCGCTACGCTGCCGCCTCGCGCCCGCGCACAGGCGGATGCGTGTGCGGCGTTGGCGGCGACTTGTGAATAGCGTGCTGCGCGGGTTTTTAAATAAGTCGCTATCAACGGCGCGTCTCGCATGGAGGGCTCGCTTATAAATGGACAATTTAGCCGCGCGGCACACGCTGCATTTGCCAGAAAATCAGCCGGGCACGATCAACTTATAAATAACACTTTGTCTTCGGGCTTTTTTTTTGGTTTTGTTTATCAGCCTAAGGGGGGGGGGGGGAGGGCGTGGGGGATCGTCGTGGTCTCCAGCATAACGGATTTGGGATGTAAACGGCAGATTAACGGGGCGGGCGGACGGACGGACGGACAGATGCTGTGCTCGCTCGCGATGAGTCACAATGAGGGATCGGACTGTACGTTTTCACAAGCAGGGGCTGCCTTTCAAGCAGCTGGTAACAGAGCTAAGCGGTCTGGGTGGGGATGTGTTATATTGGCCCGGCGGGCTTAGTGTTGGTGATTTATTTTATGTTTGCACGCTTTGTTTTCATTCGTTGTTGTCTGCCAGGTGAGTCTTTGGTTTACGCACGTGAACAGGACGCACGGTTATTTTAGTCCCATCCTCTCCTCGTGCTGCTCCAGAGAGATGCATCAATACTCTTTGGTTCTTTCGGTAAAGTCACGTAGGTAGAAAAATAATAGATCACGACGTTTCGATAGTAACACAGGTGAAACAATGCAGCAGGCGGACTGCCACAAGACGATGGCTTGTGTTGCTATCGACACGTCGTGATCTGTTATTTTCTACACTACGTGACTTCGCCGAAAGAACCAAAGAGTATGGATTCCTGCAGCCACGAAAGCTTCAAATCAAGATTAGAGATGCGTCGTTGGTGGCGGGTGCTGTTAGCGAGCACCTATTAAGGCCAGCTCAGTGATTAAGCCGGTTTTTCATGCGAAGATAAGCTTGCGTGTGTGTGTTTGTTTGGCTTGGTGTGGGGAGCGTTAGTGCCGTGGTTAGCGCTGCAGTGCACTACACTGTGTGCTAAACATCGGTGACGAATATTTCAAACGAACTTGGGCCTCCTCTAGATCTGCTTAGCCTAAAATGAGTATCCTGCGGTGTGTGTGCACATCAGCTTTGGAGACACAGAGGTAGCCGGACGTGGTGCTGACTACCCCCACTCCTCGTGTGTCGTGCCGGCCTTAACAGGAGCACGCTAACGGAACTTGCCCCGACAGTCTGTTCAAGCCGGGCGGTGGTGGTTCATGCAACACGTGTAATGCAACACTGGAGGCAAGGGTTGGTGGATCGCACAAATCTTGTTGAACTCCCTTCCCCGTGGGCGTTAAGGTACCATACCCTGGCTTGCCTGGAGAAGGCAGTGCAGGAACGTGCAGGCTTACAGCATCTGTTCCATCTGTATGGGATAGAGTGTTGCGCCCTCGTACGTATTGGTTTTCACCGGGCGCTCTGGCTTGCTGGCACTTGTAAATTCTCATTAATTGCCCGATATCACCTTAATAAGTAGAGGACCACCAAGCTTGGGCAATTTTCAGTAGCGGCGGCTCACTTGCCTGGCTGTTGCCGCTACCCCGCTCGTCCGTGGTCTCTCCTCGCACCTCCGAGTCGCTCCCTTTCTTCGAGAGCGAACGAACACCGTGCGGGCGGCCGCGGAACATTACAAGTTGACGTGATCGTTATTCTTCTTGGTTCTTTCGGTAAAGTCACGTAGAATTGAAATAATAAAATAATAAAAATAAAACATAATAAAATAATTCTCACGACGTTTCGGCCACAACGTCGTGAGAATTATTTTATAATGTTTTATTTTTATTATTTTATTATTTCAATTCTACGTGACTTTACCGAAAGAACCAAGAAGATGAATCCCTGCAGTCACGAAAGCTTTAAATCGAAATGTGATCCTTATTATGAATAATAAAGCGTGCACCGGGGGATCTTTGTCTCCGTTTGTTTGGTTGTGGTTGCTCGTGATGACCGCCCGGCGAGCAGGTGTTCTTCCGCACACCGGACGACCTTCCCATCGCCATCCTGCAGGTGGACGTGGAGCCCCAACCTCCCCTCGTCAACGAGATGTTCCGCTTCTGCCAGCCGGAGCTCACCATCCTCAAAAAGACGATCCGCTTGCCCGCGTGGCACAGCTTCTCAGGTGCCAGTGCCCCTGCTCCTCCTCCCCCAACTCTCCCTCCTCATCATCAAACTCATAATGATAATAACAACAGCAATCATTATATTATCGTGCCCCTTGGTTTGTGTAGGAATGGCTCGCTGAGGCTCAAGGATTGATGTCGTCCCCAGTTATATTTATTGAGTGTGTGGTTTGCGTGCGGGAGGAATCGAAGAGTGTCTGGAGAAAACCCACCACACCTACGAGGGGGGATATCACCCAAATGTTGTGCACGGGTAGATTCAAGGATCGATCAACCGATTCCTGCAGTGCCGTCCCAGCTGGCCACTCGCAGCAGCCCACTGCATACAGAGTAATTGATAGGCAGACGTGCTACATGGATGATCTGTCTGTGAGTGTTTGTTCATTTGAACGAATACACCCTCCCGCTTTTTTTGCAGAAGTGCGAAAATATGAACTGCGATAAATGTTAGGCAGCGGCGAAATAGCACGTAAAATAAATGACCAGCAAACACTGCCTTATGACAGAAAAAACATATCGCCTAGTATGCAATACATTTACATATACAATATTTAAACACGGATTGACGATGGCCCTCGAATCTCACAGCCTTTCTATTCAAAAGGGACATTTCTCCAAATGTATTCGAGGGAAAACAATTGACACGCTTGCAGTTCAATATGTTTGCAATTCAAGTTCGTCATTTGATGAAGAATTGATTCATTTTACTTCCTAGTTGTGAATGTAGCAGCCTTCTCGTGGCTGGAGAGGTCACATGGATCCATTACACATGTGTATAAATGAGAAGAAGAACATTGATCCTTCGGCACGCGATTCTACATATGTACCCTCAGCTTGAGAACAGCGATATGCCTCTAATGTTTGTGTATAATATGTATCACCTTGGAGGAGCAGTGGAACAATGGCTAACACCCTGTGCCCTGAGCCCAGTGGCCTGAGTTCGATTGCTACCCACGGCTAACGTGAGGTGACGATTGCGAGCTGAACCAGCCCAAAGCTCACCATTCACCAACGTGTACGGACGAGCATGGTAATATGCGCTCAACCAACATGGCATGGGGCAGTCTTCATCCAGCGGTGGATACATAAAGGCCTATAACAATTATCAATTAAATTGTATGATAGGCTAATTGTTTATGTACGTAGAATTCTTTCTTATATACAACCTTTTTTTTCAGCTGTCATGGGGCAGGTTTAATAACGGACCCGGATCCATTACTTTCGGTTCATTTTGCATCAATGACGATGACCTTAATTGTGAAAAAAAGTCACCAGAGCGCCCTCCGACATGATTGAGGCGCCACACTACCATGCTTCCTAACTCTGTTCCGCTGCGCACAGCCACGCGTTGCCCCCCCCCCCCTCCACACACACCCACACCACCTCAATGCGACAATGCTTCATCGTTGTCGTGATGATGATGACCTAATGGGAATTAATCGCATTCGTAAAACAAGAGCCAAAAATAGGCATCTCACAAAGCACACACATTACAAAAACAACTTTTAACTAGAGCAGGGCGCTGTAACCTGGCAGGCATGATGAGCCATACAAAAAAAACACTTCTTGCTTTCGTAATGAGAGTTAAGGGTTAAAGGGCTAGGGGTTAACGTGAGCGGTTGGAGGGTAACCGCGTTCGCTGCTTTTTTATGTTTAGTTCGTTGTCCTTCACCCGCGCCTCTGATTAGCGCGGTGCGAAAGACCTTCAACATACATACGTACATAAGGTAGTTGAATCTGTTAACCCCGATGAATCGGCGCGGTTGTACCGTACAGTTTCTGCAGTTCGTTTCGCGCATTCTGTCCTGTTTGTCCTGCCTCACTTGGCTGGCTGATTTATTCTGTCTCGTATAGTCTGCCTCATTCGTTCCATTAACCTAAAGGTACGTTCGCATAAAATGTCCACATTTGCACCTCCGATTAGCACGGTTGGCTACGTACGGTGCAAGAGAAGTTGAACATACGTACGTATAGTTTGCATTGCATTGTAAAATACACAATTCTCACACGTGCAATCTGACACTTGCATTGCTCGCTTTTTCATCATCATCACGATTCATGGGCAGACAGCCCATAGGTGTCCACTACACTTTTCGTCATTTGTTTTCCACTTTCCTCTGTCTTGTGCCAATTTGCTGAAGGAGTGGCCAGATCTTTTTGGCACCAATCTCTCACGATGTCGTCGTCGTCATCGTGAAGCCATTCTCTGTTAGGTCTTCCTCTCTTTCCGGTTCCTTCCATTTTTCCAAACAGCACACTTTTAATGTTCCTGTTGTCCATCCTCACTTAATACCCCATTTTAATTGCTCAGTCGCTACAATCCTATTACAGGTTGCGCTTGAAGCTCCGGGGTTTATTTGGATATCAATGTGAAAACATTACCTGGCAAAATAATAAATAGTTCTACTTGAAAACATTACCCGGGGGAGCCTCGGCCGACTCCTCGTCGCCGCGAACACCTCGTTTTGAAACGCGCGGGGTCTCACCATGCAGCCTTCAATATCGCTCCCACGCTCGAGTCGTCTTAGGCACGTTCCAGCCTTTGACTGCCATTCCGTTGTCATCCTCGCCCACCGGCCATCGTCCCTTTCCAACGACACAGTCAATCCCGAGTCCACTTAATTTCGTAAGTCAGAAAAAGACTCGGACATTTATTATTTCGGGCGGTAAGGCCCATGGAGTAAATCGGCCCAAGACCGTCACAGCCCAAGACCGTCAAGACTGACAGTCAATGTGAAATCTCGAACTTGTTCAATAATAATAATAATGAGTTGCATTATAAAGCACTTTTCTACTCAGTGCTCGAGGCGCCGTACATCACAAGGAATATATTGTAGGCTGAGGTGAGGAAAAGCCAAGAAGACAGAGAGAAGCCATTTCAGAGAACCGTAAACAAGAGAAAACAAATGCGCGTTGAAGCGGGGTTTTAAATGTCGCGCGTCGGTCTCTCAAGTGCGAATGTAAGTATAAATGTGTCGTAACCCTCCACCACCCGACACAGCCAATTAGTAAGGGATTTGTCACGTAAACAAAATGCCAATTGGCTGTGTCGGGTGGTGGAGGGTTCCGACACATTCATGCTTCTTCTTGGTTCTTTCGGTAAAATAATTATGTTTTATTTTTATTATTTTATTACTTCCCTTCTACGTGACTTTACCGAAAGAACCAAGAAGATGAATCCCTGCAGTCATGAAAGCTTTAAATCGAAACATTCATGCTTACGCAATCTAACCCAAAAACCTTTATTGTGAATATTATTGGTCGAGAAAGCCCCCAGGTGTCAAAGTCACTTTAGTGGCGGGCAAGCCCTCCAAGACGCCACGGCATGAAGGGCGCCGTATCAAACACCTAAAAGAAGTTTGCGAAGCAGGCAATGCGTCTCCAGGTATATATCTGTCTGTCAACATGAATTTAACAATCAAAATTGGACGACCTTCTGGCCGTGGGGCTGATGGTATACCATGCGTAACATTGACCTCCATGACGACGTGAATGATTATTTAGCGCTACGTACCATCGGATATGACAAGCGCTGCTTGTCATATCTCCCCCAATGCGTTGAGCCAACGTCTAGCTCATCGGATTCCTCCAGTGTAAATAAAATAATTGTTCTGATTTTGAAAGCGACGCATAAGTGTGTTTTGGTAGAAATTGAGTTAGATGTATAATCAGCAAAGCTGCTTCTCCTTCAGACGGCGCCGCTTAACGGCTCTTGTTTGCCAGGGCAACGTTGATGATAGCCTCCCACCGGTGCCGAGTCATGATCGTCGCCACCGGTAGCCACCCTGTGCCGTTTGGTAAGCTGCAGGCTGTTGTTATAAGCTGCAGGCTGTCCCGCGCAAGAGCTCGAGTTAAAAAAATACAGCGTTCGCGTATTTTTAGAAAACGCATTACTTTTTTTTTGCGGGCACTCTAAAAATAGGCACTTTTTGCCAATTAAAAGCGGGGCTGCAATTAACGACTGATTTGTTAATTAGGGTAACAAGCTCGATTGCTATCGCGGAGTCTAAGTTTAGCGTGCAGCCCACTGGCATTGATTTGCGACACCGCCGGCTCCCTATCGCATGCCGTGCGTCAGCGGCCGACCACGCGACGCGCCGTGTGGACTAACGCCGCGGACACCCAGAGTCGAAATGCTGGACGGCCAGCGAGAAGGGGAAGGCGGGTTCAGAGTTTTGCCGACTCCGCTGGCCTACACGACTCACGCCCGCAATCCGGCAATTTGTGTTGTGTGGCAAATCTCGTTACGGCTCGGGAGTATATACACACATCGGGGTGGGGCAGCACTTTCCCACCTCGGAAGCTAAGCAGGGTTGAGTCTGGATAGTGCTCAGAGATGGGAGACCCACCCATGCATTCCAGGTTGTTATAGGCTGCTACTGCCGCAGGGCTGTAGGTGGGCAGCAGAGTCCAATCCATAAGAGGTTTTTTGGGGGGTTGGTCGCCAAAGCCTACGTGTTAAATTGAGCAGAGTGCAATGTATCAAAATCCAGTGTTGTACTGGATTTGCATGCTCCCATTATCTATGCCTTCTGCCTTGGTCTACCCGAACTGACCAGCGTGGTGAAGTATGGTCAAATAAGCCCCGCGACCCACGTGGCGTGGGGAGGCCGTCGTCCAGAAGTAGCCTGACGAAATCGGTGTGGAATGTTCCATTATAACATTGGGCTGTTAGATCGTTCTATCGTGGGTTGTCGTCCTTGTCGTGGTAGAGAAGCTTGTGTACCTCCATAACCCGGAGAGAAATGCCGGCGGGACACTCAGGTTCCCAGCAGGCCCAACCATGCCGGACTGGTCAAAGAAAAAATGTACAATCTCTGGTCCTCCAGGTTGGGGGTTGGGTGTGGGGATAAAACTGAATTGTTATGGAAACCGCAACAAGTACACATTTAATACCGGACCACCAGGAGGCACCTAGCCACGGAACTGGCAGGATGACCCTATCCAATCAAAGCCCTCGGAGGGACGTTGGAAAGGTGAAAAGGGGCCTCCTGGACCCAAAGCACATCATCAAGGTTGGAGCCTGTAACGTAGGTTCCATGTACCAAACGACGTCCAAGATGGCCCAAGTTGTCCACGAGATGATACGCTACCAAATTAACATCTTAGGAGTAGGCGAGTGTCGACCAACTAAAAACCATGGGCCTGTCTTGGGGCGAAGCAGAGAAAGCTGCTAAAGACCGTCTGGCATGGCGTGGGCTTGTTGTGGCCTTATGCTCCACAGGGAGCGAAGAGGAGTAAGTAAGCTAGATCGTTGAAGTGTAAATCAGTGAAAATACGAATCCTTGTTTTGTTTTCCATTATGTCACCATTGTGCCCATCAAACCATCTGGCTGGACGAGGTTTGCCAGCGCATCACTTGTGTCAACCCAGGAATGCCAAATCTGAGTCCCTGGCACAGAAATCCCACATGTGCTGTGCACCCATCCTTAAACGACCCTGTCAACTCTCCCGTCGTTTCAGACAGCCACACAGAAGGACAAGTGCCGCGCTGCCACAGCTGGGATGAAGCGTTCTTGTGCAATAACAAACGCGTGCTGCTCATGACAGTGTGTGCCCGGGTGGAACACAGTTGACTAAATCCAAAGTAGGAGTCACGTTAACACGTGTGTTGAGTGAAAACCCATTAAAAGCTATAATAATAGAGTTTTTCACCCTTTTTTCTGGCAACAAAACTGAAACCTTTTTACAAGGATTCATGTCTGCATTAACCACAAGACTTGCAGTCAAAATGCAAACAAAAAACACACTGATAATATATGCATTGTCCTCGATTGGTCCACACCAGAGACACCTTTTTGGTACTGGCAAAGGATGTCTAATGATGTAGATCCATTGAAAGCTCCTTCGGAACACAAGACAACGAGATGGTGGTTGTGTGTGGCATATAGTACCACCACGTGCCTGCCCGCCTTCGTCTCCCCGGTGATAGTGATCGTGAAGTTAACGACACCGCCATGGGCGCACATTTTTTATTTTAGGTTGGGTCTACCGCAGGGGGAACCAGACCAGGTTGATCGGACGACTTTATGCAGGATCTGCGTATCGTAGCTCCATAGTTTTGTGATCTAGCGGATGCCACTGGGATTGTTGCACAGGGCACCAGCCACTGTGGCGTGAAATGTTGTGCAGATTAAATAGATTCATATCGATTCTTAATTTCACGACGAAGAGGTCGACTCAGCTTTCAAATGAATGTCTACCACGTGGTGTCAAAGCATCAGCGCTGAGTAAACAAAGGTAGCTCGGTGTGGTGCTGGCCCGCACACTGCTCCTGCATTCGTTGCGCAGGTCTCAATAGGTGCTCGCTAACAGCGCTTGCCACAACTGCTTATAGCAGCTATAACGGGGGGGGGGCGGAGGATCTTTGTCTGTTTCGTGTGCGCATTCAGTTACAAGAACCTGAGTTTGATTCATAGCCACGCTCGTCGCCTACCTGCTCGCTAACTGCGGCTGCCCCCAGTCGTCTTTAAGAACAATTGCGGAGGAGCTGTGGAGGGCGGGGGGGGGGGCGGTTGATGGGATCCTCGTCGTTGTTGTTTTAACCTCGTTCTGTTCGCCATCCACAGGTAGAGCAGAAGGCCGAGCCGAGCAGCAGCTGCACGTGAGATGCAGCGATGCCAACATCTTGTGTAAGACGTCGAACTCGGTAGGTGGAGGGTCGGTGGGCGGGTGGGCGGGCGGGAGCAAGGGCCAAGCGGGAGTGGTCGGGATGAATCTTGCACGGCGACGATAAATCTTACGGTAAAGCTGAATTGCAAAATGGGTTTTAAAAAAAGAGGATGACGACGACAATGACGATGACCATAACAGTTTGTGCCATTTAAAGTTGTGTCATTATTATTACGTGTTGTTGTCGTCGTCGTTGTTAGTTTTCATCCAGAGCCACGTGCTGTACGTATGTTGAATTTCTTCCACACCGTACGTAGCCAACCATGCTAATCTGAAGTGCGGTGCAAGGAGAACGAGCTAAACACAAAAAGCAGTTCTAAGGAATTGAGTTTGTCAATCTATATGACCGTTCTAGACGGCCACAGAAACGCTTCTGAGAGCGCGCGCGATGCGGAGGACCGTCTTTGTTCGACGTCGCTAGTGCCCCGTTGGAAGGACTAACTCAGCCTGCCGTGTCTCACCCTTGCCCGCCAGGGCGCGTCGGAGCCGTGCGACATATCCGTGAAAGTCTCGGGCAGCCCGTCGCCGCACGTCACCACGTTTTTCATCATGATCTACACGTGAGTCTCGGCGGCAGACACGCGGCGCAACCCCCCGCGGGCGGAGATCGGGCAACACTGCGGCGTGCCAGCTGACACGTGCCCTTGCCAGCCTCGTCCCGTGCTTCTTCGCTCGTGCGTGCGGGCGGGGATCCGAATGGAAACGTTCAAATGTTTGCGCATTCTCCGTTGGCGAACGAATGGCAGTGCGACAGTGAGGGATTCTTGAATTGGGCTCGTGCGAAGGTTGGAGTCGTTGCCCGCTCGTATGCACGGCAGGCTGTGTGTTGTCGGCCACTCCAGTCTCAGCTGCTTCGATTGATTTAGTTTTGCAACACAGTTGCACGCTACTTAGCCATTAAACATATATGTGGGGGGTGGGGGGGAGCGCCTGTCCGTGCGTAATAAAGTATTTGCGAGCAAGCCTGACATCCAACCCTCCCCTCTGGTCTGGATCGCCCAGCTCAGTAAGTGCGGTGGGGAATCAAGGCAAAGAAAAGTGCCTGCCAAGCCTATTAACAAAAAAACTATTGAAGACATTTCATGTAAGCAAGTAATTCTTAAATAATGAAACATGAGAAGAAATTACGAATCTCAGTGTGTCATTTGCCACGATCAAGGCCGATTTATTGAAGCGCATGAATGATTATTCAGCCAGTTGTCAGGCTGCCATTATGTCCACGTGACCCCATCCAGCCAATCAGAGCAGGTGCGAGAACAAATATTTTAAAGGCTGACCAGATCTAAATTCAAGAAAGGTATTAACTACCTTCAGTCGTGCTGTGTGTTGCTGGCTGCGTGTGGTAACAGTCACTCCTGGAACCCATATACAATGGTCATATAAATAGTAATTTATGAAACGCTAAATCATTCTGAACGTATCTCTTTGCCGTCTCATCGCTCCGTGTTCATTAAATAAGCGTGGACATCGTACATTTTGAGTCGGCATCATGGAACTACGAAATCGTCACCGCCTCGATCGGCATCACAAGCACTAACGACAAATATCCCCCGTATAGCCTTTAACAGACTGTCGGCACAAATGCTGTTAGCGAGCACCTATAAAGGCCAGCAAGGCGCACGAGGGGTGGGTGTCCAGCACCACGCCCAACCACCTTTGTCTCCCTCGTGACGATGTTTACAAATCACACCAGGTACTCAACTGAGGCCGAGTCGACCTAGGGAAGGTCCAGGACCGGTTCTTATAATCATCACTTGGCCGCGAGTGGGAATTGAACATGGGTTCGCTGGGTTCATAGCGCAGCGCGCTAACCACTCCACTACTACCACCCCTCCCCACCACCACCACCACCATCAAAACCACAAGCAGCAGATCTAGGGCATTGTCCAGCTGATTGAACTCCATCATCATCATCATCAAGCCATGGATCGTCTTGTACAGATGCAAAGGCAACGGTGGTGTTAACCTTCGACGCCCACGCTCTGCAGCGAAGGGTACATGTTTCATAATGCGCAGCGTCAGTCCTGCAGTGAATGTCACTCTGCAGCGTTTGTTCCGCAACCAAAGGAAAAACCAATGACTGCATGCACCATCTACGTTGGGCGTTGCCAGCTTTGAAAATTAAATTCCCACAAGCCAAAGTGACATGCTCGCTTGATTATTGCACGTAGTGTTCCCTGGTGTGGCATCCTTTTGTGCCGCTTCGTAATTTTAACATGGCATTTAAAATAACAGCTATCCCGATCTGTTTAAACTTTTTATTTGAATCTCCACCCCCCCCCCCTCCCATATATGTATATTATTACTTTGGGGATGTTTTGCGTTCTGTAATCTTCTTGTCCAATGTTCTTTTTGTCAAGTGCTGTTGTTGAGATTGTCTACAATGGGTGTGTGTCGCCAATTCTGCGTCTTTAGTATTTTACAAACTGCCCACCTCTTAACCCACACTTCCCACTGTGTCGTCGATCATCATCTTCCCTCCTGTCATTCGTACTTGTGTTATTAGGCCCTCTTCCGCTGCGCCTTTCGCTCCCTGCATCTACGCCTTTTGTTTACCCTCTGATTCTATCCACCGCATCTATCACTGCCTGTCTTTATACATCTCATTATTTCTTCCACTTTGTCCGTGTGTCTCTGCTTGCCTGCTTATCTTCTGGCCTGCCAGCATTTTACAATGGTCTGCCTGTATAGCGATGTTTGTCTCTCACAATCACCATCACACACCTCCTGCACCCACCCAACCACCCACCACACCCACCCCACCACACCCACCAACCCACACACCCACCCACCACACCACAACCATCCACCCACCACACCACACCACACCCACCCACCACACCCACCAACTCACACACCCACCCACCGCAACAACCACCCACCTCGACCATTCCTTATTCACCACCACCACCTCCTGCACCCACCCACCACACCCACCACACCGACCATTCCCCGCACCTCCGATTACCACGGTTGGCTAGAACGTACGGCGCAAAAGAAGTTCAACGTACATACAGACATACATTCTCCCTCCGCCACCCGCCCCGCGCACAGGGACCCGTACCACGCGGTACCCGTACAACTGTGGCGCATGATGGTGCACTGGGTGCAGCGTGTCGACGTCTCCTGCCAGCTCGGGCAGTCGGCGCGCGCGTCTTTGCCTCTGCGGGGGACTCGCGCCCTGCGCCGGGTCCAGTGCCACGTGGCCCAGCCCGACGCCGTCGTTGAGGTACGAGCGTGCGGTGGGCCGCTGGCGAGACGTTGACTACCTCGCCTGGTCTGCAGGAGGTTCATGGGTTCCATCCCCACCCTGACGCCTGCTGTATATTTGGAGTTTGCGTGTCTCTCTCTCTCTCTCCCCGTGGTGAGATGTTAATTACCTTGCCTGTTATACAGGAGGTCATGGGTTCAATCCTGACCCTGACGCCTGCTGTATATTTGGAGTTTGCGTGTCTCTTATCATCGTCATCATCATGGTGGCTAGGAGATGTTAACTACCTCGCCTGGTCTACAGGAGATCGTGGGTTCAATCCCCACCCTGACGCCTGCTGTATATTTGGAGTTTGCGTGTCTCTTATCGTCGTCATCATCACGGTGGCTAGGAGATGTTAACTACCTCGCCTGGTCTACAGGAGATCGTGGGTTCAATCCCCACCCTGACGCTTGCTGTATATTTGGAGTTTGCGTGTCTCTCTCTCTCCGTGGTGAGATGTTAATTACCTCGCCTGTTATACAGGAGGGCATGGGTTCAATCCTGACCCTGACGCCTGCTGTATATTTGGAGTTTGCGTGTCTCTTATCATCGTCATCATCACGGTGGCTAGGAGATGTTAACTACATCGCCTGGTCTACAGGAGATCGTGGGTTCAATCCCCACCCTGACACCTGCTGCATATTTGGAGTTTGCGTGTTCTCTCTCTCTCTCCCCGTGGTCGCGTGGATTTTTCTTCGGGTCCTCCGGTTTTTCCCTCCACGTTTAGAAACGTGCGTTTAGAGTATTTGGCTGCTATACATTTCCACGTGATAAGCCACTTCGTTGAGCTGTCATTTGTGGCCAGGTCACTTCTGAAAAAGAGCCATACAGCTCATTGGGCCTTACCTGGTAAAATTAAAATAGCTATAGTAACTATAGTTAGACGGGCCTCCCGCATGCTCCAACAGTCATGTGGATGACTTAAGGCCGAATGAGAGCCCGTTGCCTGTGACCAAATCAAATGGAATAAACTAAAACTAAACTTTTAATTTTGTCAGGTAAGGCCCACTGAGCCATATAGCTTCTTTTTCAGAAGCGACCTGCCCATAATTGATAGCCCAACGAAGTGGCTTATCACGTGGAAAATGATAGCAGCCACGAATACTCTAAACGCAGTCCCTCTACTTATCAAAACGTTTTCGGCCAATCATTCAATCCGTGCGCATTTGTGCGTGTGGGATGAAACCGGTAGCGCCCTGGAGAAAAAAAAACCCTACGGGGGTGGCTGAGACCCCGATTTAGAGCCCGGGATCTCGACGGTGATGCTGCCACCACGGTCAGCTCTTCTTGAAAGCCGATTGCGTCTGCGAGCGTTTGCGAGCGGGGGTTTACCGTTGGATTTGAAGGCAGCGGACACGTGCGACCGTATTTAAATCTGGACTTAACATTAATTTTTCATCGTCACGAATTGTTCCCCAAGTGCTTTATGCCCAGCTGGTTGTTGTAGATCATACATTTCTGAGCAGATACTGTACGTTCCGCAGCGTACCGCAGGTAGGAGGCTTATAACCAACCACCCCCTCCTACCCCGCAGGGAATGATTTCATTATCGCAATACAGGGTCGTGAATTAATTGAATAATTATATAATGAGTTCCTCTTTTTCGTCCTCTTCTTACCGTGTATTTTTTGTTTCTCGTTCTTACAGCCTCATAATCGCACTCATTTATACATTTCTTTTTTATTCACGGAAATGTTTCACGAATGTGATCGACAAATTATCAGGCTCGCAATTTGATGCACGTGACCGTGAACGTTTGACGAATCGATGCATGGTTGCATGCCAACAACAAACCCTTGTAATGTAGCCGGGCAAGTGGACAAACGGGATCATCTGTGTAACAAATCGAAAGAAAACGAGTAGGCAGGCAAGTAAGGTAGCGTTCTTGTCGATAATCATGCAACAACAAAAAAACTACCAAGACAGCAAGTCTTGTTTTGCAAGAGATGCGAGTGTAATATTGTGTTAGGGAGTAATTTACAGGGCACAAATTTCATGCCAACAACAAACCGGCAAATTATATTCTTCACAATGAAGGCTTTTTGGGTATCCATTATTTATAATAATTGACTGTTGCAGTCAGCGCTGCCAGACAATACTAGTTTATTACGAAAGTTATTTTGATCGGACCTGCCATCCAATTTCGTAAGCGCTTCAAGGGATTATTATTTGTTTTTAAGTTGTTATGCGCACATAATAGCTCGCGATGCCGAGCGTCGCGACGAAGATGCGTTTTGTGTGCCGCAGTTCGAAATCGCTCTTAGCTGGGTTGTAGGCGAACTCATCCCACTGGATGTCAACAAATTAAGTACCACTTTGCAGAGAGTCCACAGCCAGTGGTTTGTCCTTGGAAGGGAACGGACCATTGCCCTCTAATGTATCAGTTCTGCCGCTGGCTTCGTGGAAATGAACGCCTGCCCTGCACTTATTCTTGGTTCTTTCGGTAAAGTCACGGATTGCAATCGAAACGTCGTCAGAATTGTATTGTTTTATTTTTATTATTTTATTATTTCCCTTCTACGTGACTTTACCGAAAGAACCAAGAATATGAATCCCTGCAGTCACGAAAGCTTTACATCGAAATTTGCCCTGCACTTGTTTGAGCGTAGAGACACTTGGCTCACGTACACGGTGAGTGGTGCAGTATTTGTATTCAAATTTTTCTACGCTGTTATGAATGTCATACGCGCGGTTGAGCCCGGATGGTGCTTGGATGAGTGACTGCCTCCACACAAGCAAAGCTACGTGGAGGGCACTCGATGGTCGGTGGTGCAAGAGTTTTAAATTGTTGTACTCTACTCCTGCGCTTGCACGGCTCTACTCCCCCCGGCTTCACAAACCCGCATAGACCAACGTCGTGAAGTACGTATTGTGACTGACACTGCAGCGGGGTTAACAAAGTGACTGTGCATTTTATTTAATATAGTTCAATTTAAATCACAAATGCAGATCGGTTTGCCCCGATTTCCCGCGTGTGCGGGCCCAATGGTTTTGTTTCTCCCCCCCCCCCCTCTCTCACCGCTCCCCGCAGAGCCCCCACCCCCACCACCACACTCATCATTATCACCGTCGTCGTTATATTTTTTTGCGGCCACGGCGAGCGGCTCGCGACGAAGCCGCGGCATTGTGCCCCAACTTCTTGGGAGGGGGAAGCAATCAAGACGCCCGTTAATTGGTTTTCGCCGCCCTTCCCCCGCCTCGGCACGCCGCAAGCCAGCGGAGGCCGACCCCCGGCGGGGTCAAGACCCGCGTCCGCAATGAGCGCCTGACGCGGGTGCTCATTAAGCGATTGGGAAATGGCAGCGTGGCATTTTGCGCAGACGTGACACGCGCCGGGGTCGGCGGGGGGGGGGTTCAATCACGTGCCCGACGTGCGGCCCGCTAAAAAGAGGGAAGTTGAGGCGAGGCAGCTGGGACAACCACGCCCGCCCGCGCTTCCTCGTGTTTCGAGAGACGACTTTGCGAGAGAGAAGCGGCGCACGGTGCCTCGGTTGACGATGACGGACAAAGTCTCTCTCTGTCTCCCTTTTACGGCCCAGAGCCAGTGGTAGAAATTTCGCTCCCCTATTGCCGGGGAGGGGGGGGGGGCGATTCCATCTGACTCGGCCACAGAATTGCGTGAAACTTTATTGACCCCCCCCCCCCCCCCCAGAGCCTCCGTCACCGCACCAGAATTTGAGCTCGCAAACTTCTGATTATTAACCCGAATCCTGGCCGGTGATGAATTAATAATAATAGCAATTGTAATTAAACTAAGTACGCAATATAAGCTCACCTGGGCTGGAGCGATAGGGCAGTGTCTGGCATGCTGCGTTACTAGCCTTGCAACTCGGGATGGGTTCCTGGCACGGCTGATATCAGTGGCTGCCTTAGTTCAAAGCCACTGCTGATGAAGTGCCATCACATGGTCAGTTTAAGGCTGAAATTAGGTCGTGGAGACCCAAACCCCAATACAAGCAGGGCACCGCAGTGGCGAGATGTTAACTCCCTCTCTTGGGATACAGGAGGTTGTAGGTTCCATCCCAACCCTGACGCCTGTTGTATATTTGGAGCTTGCATGTTCTTCCCTGGTCGCGTTGATTTTTCTTCGAGTCCTCCGGTTTTTCCCTCCACATTTAGAATCAACTCCCGTTTAGAGTGTTTGACTGCTATACATTTCCACGTGAAAAGCCACTTTGTTGAGCTATCATTTGTGGTCGGGTCGTTTCTCAAAAAGAGCTATACAGCTCAGTGGGCCTTACCTGGTAAAATAAAAAAAATAGTTTACAGTTTTACAAACATCGCCCTGAACACATGCATTCTGCTTTCGTATCTTGGAAGCTAAGCTGGCTTTAACCTGGTTTGTACTTAGATTGGAGACTGATTCGGAGTACCAGGTGTTGTAGCCTTGAGCTGCGAAGATGACGAGAGGGCACTTGAGTCTTGAACCTCGCCTTGTTGAGTATTACCGCACGTCGTTGAGTGAAGATTTTCTCTTCTGAGTACTCCGGTTTGAGCCTATTTACCCAAACACTTGTTAAGGAAATCAGCCCAACATTGCAACGCAGGAAACCTCCTGAACGAGACCCTCGAGACTCATTGAGGCTTTCCCAGGTAAACGAACAAAAATTATCTTTCCGCAATCGGCCAGAAATCGAGCCGACTTTGAACTCACAAAACAGGCCCCCGCGCACGCCAACAAAAAAGCAAAGCCCTCAAAAGGGGCCCCAGAAATAGCGTTATTGACCCTCGATTTGCAGAAGAAACAAATGAATGTGGAGCGAGTCGCCCACGGACATTCGCCCCAAAGCGCGTGGCCGGCGCTCAGATTGCGCTATCCGCGCTGGGAGCCGGTGGCGTGGCGGGGGGAGGGTGGTTCAGTTGAACGATTGATAGTTTCCCACGCAATTCACATTAAATCAATTGGCCTCGGTTTGACGTGGCCTTTCTGAGCGCGGGGGGGGGGGTGAGAGGGGGAACCGAGGCTGTATCGTCGCAGCCACATTGCACGGCTTAAATTGACCCCCCCCCCCCGCTCGTATCGCGAGTAGCCCGCAGCAGTCCTCTAGCAAGTGGGCTTGTGGCGAGCATTACACGGCAGGTTTAGGCTACGATGGTGCGTGGGTGGAGAAGTGTGGGTGGGGGGGCAGCAGGGGGGGACGGTGTGAGCCGTTTCTCTCCGTGACCGGCTTCCAAGCGGAGATCGCCCCCGAGTGTTTTGTTCGTAAGTGGACTTTTTTTTCCCTTCGAAAAGCGCGCAAGCGATGTTAGAAACTTTCAACTTGCTTTTACCGAGTTGGAAAGATCGTAAAGGGCCACGCAGCTCCCTTATGAGGATGGGTTTCGGAGCGGTAATGATGGTTCACTTGTGTTCGTGTGCCAACGTAAGCTGAGCGGGTTTGTTTTGAGTAAGCTTGTTTGGGGCTTTTTTTCTTGTTGGGGTATATTGTTGACGATCGTATCGTCCGTGCATTTGTTGCAGAAATTATCACGTGTTTATCCCTCCGCATTCGATAACCCCACGCCCCCCGTACGTACACATCGGAACACAACACACAAGATGATTTAGCTTTGTTTAACACGTGCTGCCCTTATGCTCGTCACTATTACATCTTTAAATATAAAATAAACCACTTAGCCGCGCGCTATCTCTCTGTCTCTCACCATAACCAGCTAGCACGGCCGCCGCCAGCCTTTCTAAATTTGCGCAGTCTGGTGGAACGGGTTGTTGTCTGCTATAATACGGCCTCGGGCGCAGTGTAGCGGGCGGTAAGGCATGGCCCGATGAGCCCTAATGAGGATGACCTATACACCAAGCAAGGCTTATAATACCCGCAGCATGTCACGGCCATCACCTGTATTGACTGCTTTCCTAAAATCAAGTCCCGGCCAGGGTGTGAAGGGACGGCACCGCAGTTGTCGGAACAGAGTTCGATCCCCAGTCGTGGCTAACGCCGGTGGTGAGCGATATCTGAAACCGGTTCTGCGCCCCCCCCCCCGCCGTTCCCCCCCCCCCGCAAATATACTTCAGTGGAAGCGAATCGTGGCCTGCTGAGAGATCTCTGTAAAAGTGACTGGCAGTGATTGAATAGGCAACTATCGAGGCATATGGCAATCGCTTCAGTGGGTTTCTAGGAAAATAGATTGCATTTGCATCATAATAATAATAGATCTACGGGAAAGTTACTGAAGCTCAGCGGCTGAGATGCAACAAATGTTGTCATTACAATAGTTTCAGACGTGGCTTTAAATTCACATTAAAAAGCAGCTGCCGCCGAGTTTAAACAGAAGCAACAGGTAACACCGCAGGCATTAACGGGTTTCTCCCATCACGTGTCCATTGCCGTACAGCCTTGATTCAGGATTTCTCAGGAACCTACCCAGCGCACCGACGACCTTTTTGGTGATTGCTGCGGCTGCTGCCGCATTGATGGCTCCGCTGGTGGCAGCAGCAGCAGCACAATTAACGACAAAACTCAACACACTCGGTCTTCTTGGTTCTTTCGGTAAAGTCACGTAGAAGGAAAATAATAAAATAACAAAAATAAAACATAATAAAATAATTCTCACGACGTTTCAGCCAGAACGCGAGCAGCCGTTCTCAGGTGAAGGATGGCTGCTTGCGTTGTGGCCAAAACGTCGTGAGAATTATTTTATTATGTTTTATTTGTATTTTTTTATTTCCCTTCTACGTGACTTTACCGAAAGAGCCAAGAAGATGAATCCCTGCAGTCACGAAAGCTTTAAATCGAAATTCAACACACTCGACTTAACGCTGTGGCCTTAAAGGGAAAACGAGTATATAACAGGCGACATTGCGACAACTTGGCCTCCCTCGTAACGCGTAAATTAATAGACACACGAGACGAGCCAGAAACTGCGGCGCCGCTTCAACCCCTCTTCATGTGGCCCATCGCAGCAAGTCACAAGCGTCACGTTAACAGACAAACACTCCCTGTCACGTGACTCGGGGGAGCCAATCAGATTGAGCCCGTGACATCACTTGGCTGGCCTCAATACAAAAGGTTTCTGTTTGGTGTTTTTACATCTTAACACCTCCTGTTTTATTGCCAGAAAGGGTAAAACCTATTCTTATATTCTTATGCTCAATGTAAGTCACATAACGCGTGGGGGGGGAAGCGAAAATGTCAACATCGACACACCGCTGTTTTGACATTAATTAATAATTGTGATCATTTACATCCCTCTGTCATTACAGGATCCCCTCGTTATTTACGAACTTGCTATCCGCGATTTTGGCTGTCCGCGAATCACATCTGGTGAACCACCAACCCTCGTTACCTCCACAGTGCTGGATTACACGTCACGTGAATAGCCAGCACTGCCCAGATAAATAAGGTGCGATGTTAACTACCTCGCCTGATATACAGGAGGTCGTGGGTTCGATCCCGAGCCTGACGATGCCTGCTGTATATTTGGAGTTTGCGTGTCTCTCTCTCTCATCATCACTGTGGCTATGAGATGTTAACTACCTCGCCTGGTATACAGGAGATCGTGGGTTCGATCCCGAGCCTGATGATGCCTGCTGTATATTTGGAGTTTGCGTGTCTCTCTCTCATCATCATCACGGTGGCTAGGAGATGTTAACTAACTCGCCTGGTGTGCAGGAGGTCGTGGGTTCGGTCCCGAGCCTGACGATGCCTGCTGTATATTTGGAGTTTGCGTGTCTCTCTCTCTCTCATCATCATCACTGTGGCTATGCGATGTTAACTACCTCGCCTGATATAAAGGAGGTCGTGGGTTTGATCCCAACCCTGACGATGCCTGCTGTATATTTGGAGTTTGCGTCTCTCTCTCTCTCTCTCCCTATGGCGAGATGTTAATTACCTCACCTGATATACAGGAGGTCGTGGGTGCGATCCCAACCCTGACGCCTTTATATTTGGAGTTTGCATGTTCCCCCCGTGGTCGTGTACATTTTTCTCCGGGTCCTCCGGTTTTCCCCTCCACATTTAGAATCAACGTCACGCGTTCAGAGTACTTGGCTGCCGCTATAAATTTGCATGTGATCACAAGCCACTTCGTTGAGCTGTCATTTGTGGCCAGGCCGTTTCTGAAAAATAAACAGCTGTATAGCTCAGTGGGGCCTTACCCGATGAAAAATAAGAAGTTTAGTTCAGTTTCGATTTAAAGCTTTCGTGACTGCAGGGATTCATCTTCTTGGTTCTTTCGGTAAAGTCACGTAGAAGGGAAATAATAAAATAATAAAAATAAACATAATAAAATAATTCTCACGACGTTTCGGCCACAGCGCAAGCAGCCGTCCTCAGGTGAAGAACAGGTCTGTCGGAAAGACAGCGTCTTCACCTGAGGACGGCTGCTTGCGTTGTGGCCGAAACGTCGTGAGAATTATTTAATCATGTTTTATTTTTATTATTTCCCTTCTACGTGACTTTACCGAAAGAACCAAGAAGTTTAGTTCAGTTTAAATCGTTGAGTCTGACTTCGACCGTCCGGCCACTGCCTTCCCCCTCTCCGCGCCCCCCCCACGCCCCCTCTAGGTATCTCCGCGGGACGAGTTCACGCTGCAGCCCGACTCGGTGCACGAGGTCTCTCTCCGCGTGCGCCCGCTCTCCGCCGGTACCCGGAGCCACCTGCTGAGCGCCGTCGACACGGAGTCGCTCGCCATGCTCAACTGCTGGCTCGTGTGCGTCTCCTGCTCGCCGCCCGTCATCTCCAGGGTGCGGCCCCGGTGCTAGCATGACACGGCACTTGCCACCCTCCCATTTGCTGCCATCGTTGCGGACAGCCGCCGGAAGCGATGTGTCTGAAGCTTCTTTTGATGCTGTTGTCACTGCTATTTTCGTTCAGCTGCTGTTGTTTGCCGTGACGGTTGCCGCAAGTGTTGCTTCCCCGAGGGGGTAGTCAAGCCTGAAATTGAAAGCTTTTTCAATAGGGCCCAACATTAGTTTCAAATACAAACAGTCAATATATTTTATTTGATAAATAGCAATTAAATATACATTTTCACGATATCACGAGGAGCCGGGGGGCCATCACCCTTACCCCTGCTTTCCCCACCCCCACCCTCCCCCATTGGATCCGCCACTGTGCCAATATTACTCCCGTTATCTCTGCTGCTGGAAACGTTGCTGTCGCTGCTTCTGTCGCCTTACCTGCAACTGCTATTGCTGCTGCAGTTCATTCAAATCGTGTTGCTGCTGCTGCAACAATTTATCACTGGGTCAAGTATTTGTGCTGCCGTTGCTGCTGCACCCCCACCACCACCAGCACCGGCACCAGCACCAGCACCACCACCATCACACTGGGGTTGGAGAGGGCATCTACTCATTCAAGCTGCCTCCCTAAGCCCTGCTTCCCACCAACCCTCCTGGGAATTGAGCTTCCTTATGTCCCAGCAAATGACTGATTACAGGATTTAAATAATTACCATCTTGTTACATTAATGCATTCGCCACCACTGTGCCGCCGACAGGAAATGGTTTTCATTTTGGCGTCACTGTTGCAAAATACCGCTGCGTGGGTTGTCGCTGGTCGTATTGGTGGGTCGTACCGCGTGGTCGTTCGGCACGATGTCCGACGTTTCTCTCCGCGTGCTGGGAGCTTCTTCAGTTCCTATTTGTCTGCTTATTTCGTGTAGCAAAACGTCGGGACGTCGCGCCAAACAACAATTTACAACAGCAACATGCGCTGCAACCCGAAAGGGCACCTGAGCGCTGTGGTAAAATGTTTTGGCAGTGTTTGTTTCGAGTGCAGAAAGTAGATGGGTCGTAAGGTATAATAGTGTAAGGGAGTGGCAATATCACCGTGCATCGATTCATTGATTGAAACTAAAAATAACAATTGTGTTTACTTCCATGCAAAGAACCGTGCATTGAACGATTCACAATTCATGCACATGATGTGCAAATTATATATGCAGAATTTTCTTGATTTGGACCAGAGGTCGCAAACGGGTTTTGATTCTTTACCCGTACCCGTACCCGGCCGCACCAGGGTCGCAAACGGGTACCCGTACCCGGCCGTACCCTACCCGATACCCGGCCGGGTACGGGTAGCCGGGTATCGGGTACCCGATTGCGACCTCTGGGATGACGCCATGTTGCAGGCGCGGGTGGGTTGATTCTAGGAACTTGAATTGTGAGAAGAGACAAGACGTTGGGAAATGAGTGACAAACGGTTACTCACCAGTGACTCACGGCCTACCCGTACCCGGCCGCACCAGGGTCGCAAACGGGCACCCGTACCCGTACCCGGCCGGGTACTGGTAGTCGGGTATCGGGTAGAGTACGGGTATCGGGTACTCGATTGCGACCTCTGATTTGGACTAATGGAGCAAGGACAAGTCTACGAATGGGAAAGCAAAAAGCATGAAAAGAGAACAAATGATGTGGCAACGAGGAGAGCGAAAATAAATTGCCTTTGAATCGAATCGTAACCGCAAATATGAACATCTGAATCGCTGTGTGTGTCTGATCCGTTACAGTCCATGTCGTAAAGAGAGAATTCTTGCCTGTCAAATCGGAAGTTTAACAGCAATGAATCTAGCGAGTCTGGCTCTGCTGATGAGACACTGTGTAATCGAAGCCGGTCCAGAGAATTTCCTTATCTTGAAACAATGCTGCTGAAATTTTACACTTCCCAGAAGGTCGCACGACCTCTGCTGGGTTGTGTTAGAAATACTTTTTATTTGTTCTTATCTGGAGCGGTAGATATGTGCAGGAGGCATATCATCTTTTTACTCTTTGAGGATATAAAGTATTCGGCTCAGTGCTCACACATGGGCATCACGAGCCCTCATTATGAGAAACGGCTACGTAAAGGAGATTTATACTGGTAGGAACCTCCAGGTTACACCAGCCCACAGGGGATTATTGTGTCCGTTGCAGGGAGGGGCTGGGTGGGGAGGGGAGGGTGGGGAGGGGCTGGGTGGGGAGGGTGGGGAGGGGCTGGGTGGGGAGGGTGGGGCTGGGTGGGGGGTGGGAGGGGTGGGGCTGGGTAGGGAGGGGCTGGTCACCCCGTGGTGCTCTTATAAAACTCAACGTTTAACCTACTCACGCCGGCTTGTGCCCGCCCTTACACTCGGGCATATTTGCGGAATACACCACGCCGCCGTTGACCCTGGCCATTGACCGAGCAACCCAACGTTCCTACCAGCTCCCTCCGCAGGAATGTGTTTGTCTGCGTATTTATATCATCGCGGTACGCGGATGTCAGAAACAAAGAGGACTCAATCGCGGTGCACAAGCACGGGCGTAGACCTCGCCATCACTGTCATTTGCAGCGCTGCTAAGTAGCTGACAAATATATTAAAAGCGAACATTAGCAGCAGTGGATCCCCTTATCTCTCTCTCAGATTTTAAAGAAAAGGAGTTGCCCAGAAAATGATCCTATTGTATATTTTCAATTGCAGGGTAATCGTTTTCAAACGCAACTTATTTTCAGCTGAAATATGCATGGTTGCCCGTAGCCTTTCGTTTCAACCGTTGTGGAGTCCCATCGAATGTGGCTGGGTGGCACTGTTGAGAATTCAGATTTTGATCGGGGGGGGGGGGGGTGTCACGTCAGCCAATCATCGCAGGGGTTTATAACAATGCCTACCATTTAGATAGAGGTCAGCAGCAGCAGCTGTCTCATGCAGAGAGTAGCCGCAGCCATGGGAAAATGGAATTTCTCCGACCAGCTCACGAGCCACCAACTCACTGCCCACCAACAGACGTTATCCCTGCCCCGTTTGCGCGTCTTCAACGGGGTGACACTATCACCGCAGACGACGTACGAGCCGTGAAGCAGACGCAACAAAATGTGGGATGCTTTCAATTCGCGGTTGCCCGGTTACGACCAATTATTATTGTTTCTGCTTCCGCTGTTTCCACTTTTGCAGGATTGTGCGGTTGATGATGATTAGTGCCAATTATGCCGCTGTTTCTTTCTGATAATTTTGCAACGAGATGAAAAAAAAAGACATTTCGTTTGTGTTTTTTTTTATTGAAATGGATGGAGATGGGCTGGAAGTAATGGGCGTTCTTTCTGATGCAATGTTTTACGTCCGGCTTTATCGTAAGCACGTCAATAAGAGCGAGGCACATGGGGCGTGAGAACACAAGCCCCCACCCCCTTCCGTGGCTGTTACCACCGAATCGCCCAGACCACACAAGGCAGGTGTCGTGTCGCCATCTGCTGGCATTACGTTCAGTGATTGGGGTCCTGTCGGGCCCACACAAGACAGTGGCGGTGTAATTCGTTGGATATAAGCACGCCTTGGATAAACATGGCTCCGATATATAAGCGACACGCCCTTACATTACGTTGGTGGTGGCGGGTGGGGGGCATCGTCTGATATAAGCACACTCCGTGAGCTTTGCCTGGTAGGATGGGGATGTTTAGTTTTATTTTCATGTGTTTGGGTGATTTTTTTAGCCTTCTTGTACGTTGCACTACTGTCATGTTTGTGTAATTGTTGTTGTTGTAACCTTCGTAGCACGTGCCCCTATTGGACAAGAGATTAATAGCTCATCGGATTCCTCCAGTATAAATTAAATATTCTGATTCTGTTCTAGATTTGAAGCTTTCGTGACTGCAAGGATTCATATTCTTAGGTTTTTTTCGGTAAAGTCACGTAGGTAAAAATTTTAAATTAATAAAAGTAAAATAAAAATTAAATAAAAATCACGACGTTTCGGAGGCAACACAAGCTTCCGTCTTCAGCTGGAACCGTCACAGCACGATTGCTGTATCAAGTACAGATATCGTGCTGTATCAAGTACAGCTATCGTGCTGTATCAAGTACAGCTATCATGCTGTGACGGTTCCACCTGAAGACGGAAGCTTGTGTTGCCTCCGAAACGTCGTGATTTTTATTTTATGTTTATTTTCATTTTATTAATTTTAATTTTTTACCTACGTGACTTTACCGAAAAAACCTAAGAATATTCTGATTCTGACCTGAATGAAAGCACGTGAGCATACCGCAACCTGCGCTTGGAGTGTGCTTACGCCACAACTTCTACCCCAAAAGCCACGAAGCGGTGGTGGGGGGGGGGACGTGAAAGTCTTTGATCTTTGTTTAATTATGAATCATTGATTATTGTAAACAAACAGAGCCACAAACAACTTCTTGGTTCTTTCGGTAAAGTCACGTGACTTTACCGAAAGAACCAAGAAGATGAATCCTGCAGTCACGAAAGTTTTAAGCCACAAACAAGTCAAGGGCACCGTTTTTCAGTCAATAACATCAGTTGATTTGGTTCAATTAAATTGATAACATTGACTTAACGATGTGCAATTGTATTTCCATTCAGTTGAGGAAACTTTTTTCGTTTTCAAATTGCACGGATTATATTAGTATTTAATGATGCTCATGAGCAGTCAATCAGAAGCGTTTTAAATGATAATACGATTTTACACAAATCCCCTACTAAGTTTTCTAAGCACGTATTCTTTGCGGGGGGAGAACATTTACATCAGTATAATGTTTATACTGGAGGAATCCCATTAGCTATTGAGGTATTTTTTGCAGATGTCCAGTTGGAGTGGGTCACAACGTTTACGCTGCTATTTAATCACTCAATAGGACAGGTTAACAGTCAATTTGGGCGAAGACGATTCGCCAATTAAGTCCATTAACAGAGAAAACTACCATCGACGGCACCTTTTGTAGGTTAATCACTCAGGCCCCTTTAATAATAATAATAATTCCAGGTTACATAACGTTCCGCAGGACAGTATTCGCTCGCTAAACAAAATGCAATCAACTTTGAAAAGAAAAACCAATTTGAAAAAGAGAGTGGTGAGCAGGCAGGCAGGTGAAGAGTCCCCCAGCTTTCGGCGACCCGGCCAACGCTGCTCAGCGGCGGCTACATCGTGACACAGGGCGCCACGGTGGATAGGAGATGTTAACTACCTCGCCTGGTATACAGGAGGTCGCGAGTTCGATCCCGACTCCTGACGCCTGCTGCTGTATATTTGGGAGTTTGCGGGTGGTCTCTCTCTCTCCCCGTGGTTGAGGAGGATTTTTCACCGGTTCCTCCGGGTTTCCCACCCCCCCACATTTAGAATCAACATCACGCGTTCAGAATATTTGGCCGCTGCTATAAATTTTCCCATACGACGATAAGCCACTTCGTTAACATATTATTTGTGATAGCCAGGTCGCTTTGATGAAAAAAAAAAAAAACTTGGTATTAAAACAAAAAAAGTATATTTCATTTCTCTTTCCCCCTCCCCCCGACAGGAGTTTGAGTTCCGCTTGCCGGCAGACGGTGTCAAGGGATCCAGCAAGCGCATCAAGTACACCAATCCCTACTTGGAGGCCCGCAAGCTAGAGCTGCAGGCCAGCCGGCCCGACCTCGTGGTCTTCAAGGAGGACATCTTCGAGGCGCGTCACACAAGCGCACCTTGTTTTGCAGTGCCTACGCGCGCGCTGTGTCGGTCTGTGCAATTAACCCTTTCCCTTCCGTTCCGAGACTCCTGCAAGTTGCAGGGTGGGCGGGCCCCGTTCACCGCTGAATCTCGGACCGTGCGAGCGGCTCAGCGTTGTATAAGCATAGGTTTTTTTACCCTTTCTGGCAATAAAACAGTTGTGTTAAGATGTTGAAACACGAAACAGAAACCTTTTGCCAGGAATCCTGTCTGCATTAATCACAGCACAAGGTCCCATATTGTAGCTGCTTGGCCCGAGCTATGAATGCCCTGATAGTGGCATTGTCTTTGTGCTGTTCACCCTTTCGCGTTCTCTGGTCTAACACTGTTTGAGTCTAGGCCATAAAAAAGACAGTCTCTGGTGTGGACCAATCAGTTTCAAAGACAATGCATACATTACCAGAGCGTGTCTTTTGTTTGCATGTTCACCGCAAGTATGTGTGGCTAATGCAGACAGGATTCCTTGCAAAAGGTTTGTGTTTTAACATCTTAACACAACTGTTTTATTGCCAGAAAGGGTAAAACCTATTCTCGTGTTTATGATACTGGCAAGAAAGTTCCCATATTGGTTCAGCGTAAATTTTATTTGGAAAGGCGTAGCGCCGCTTTTTATTTAAAGACATTGTACTCATACTCTTTGGTTCTTTCGGTAAAGTCATGTAGATGAAAAATAAGAAAATAATTTTTTTATAAAAATGAAAATAACTAAATTAAATCACGACGTTTCGGAGGCAACACAAGCTTCCGTCATCGGGTGGAATAGCCACAGCAAAATTACTGTAGTGAGTAAAGTAGAGAGAGATATTTGTGACAAGCGATTATATGGGTAAGAGGGGGGGAGGAGCCAGGGAGGAGGGATGCAGGGGGGGGGAGTTAAGCTGAGTTAAGCTGATTAATAACATCCTTTTAGGACACAGGGGGGGGGGGGCAGTATTCGCCGCAGAGAAGAGTCGCCACACGACCTGCACTCTATTACAGCTGGCGCCAAACTGGGCCACGCACCCTCCCGTGAGGTCTTTCCCTTCCGATGATGTGCACGTGTGTCATCGGAATGGCAAAGGGTTTAATGGGAATCAACATTTCGGCAAAGATGCTTTGGCCAAGCGGCGAGCCCACTTTCCAATTGAGACATGTTGAGAAGGGCTAGTCGTTACATGTAACGGAGACGAAGCGTTATCCCATCCACGGAGAATATCGTGGTAAAAAAGCACGGTTTCCAACTCTTGGGACGTAGCATAGGTGTGTTGAGGCCTGTGGTATATTTAAAGGGCATCGAACAAAGACGGGAACCGCATCGCGCGCTTTCAGATGCGCTTCTGCGGCCATCTGGAACGCTCTTCCGTCATTAGGAAGCCACTGGAGCTATGCACTTTTCAATCGCATAGATTTACAAGCTCATTTATTTTAGAACTGCTTTTTGCGTTCAGTTTGTTGTCCTTCCCCCGCGCCCCCCACCCCCCCAATTAGCGCGGTTGGCTACGTACGGTGCGAAAGAAGTTCAACACACCATACGTACATGTGTGCAATTCATAAACCGAGTGGTAATTTCGTGGCAAAAGCACAGGCTTAGATTGGTGCACATCCCTCCGCTCTGACAGCCGAAGGTAGCCTGTCTCATTATTAGGTTGGCCACCTGGCTGGGTTGTCCCCAGGAGGTATAGCTGCTGTCCTAGGAAATCTGTTTTCTCCCAGGAAGGGACATCAAGGGTCTTTTATATATTTTTTTGCCCATTTGCGTAATAATGCACCACTCAGGACAATGCGGTCACGTGTACGTGAGCCCCTCTCGCTTCCGCTCTGCGATATTCTCTTCCCCACGATATGTCCCGGGGTTGCGTTGCACCTCGGAGTTGGCAACCCACATTGTTGTGGAGATCCGTGACGGATGTAGGTGATGTCACCGTCGTTGATGGTGATGCTAGTTTACGCTGTTGTCTGTCATCCTGTTGCTGTTGATGGCGAAACTGTTGCTGCTGTTGGTGATGGTGGTGCTGTTGCTGCTTATGTTGGTAGTGCTGCTGTTGCTACTGCTGATGTTGCTGTATCTGCTGCTGTTACTGCTGTTGTTACTGCTGACGACGCTGCTGCTGTATATGCTGCTGTTACTGCTGATGTTGCTGATGTTGCTGATGCTTGCTGCTGCTGGTGGTGCGGTTGGCCTCAGGTTGCCGCGCGAGGGGAGTACAGCATCGGCCTGCGCTTTGTGCTGGGCGCGGCGCGGGGAACGGAGTCCATCCTCATCTTCATCAACAACGCGGAGGGGGACAACGAGGAGACGCTGTGCGTGCGAGTCACCTACGACTGATGGACGGCTCCATCCCGAGCTCTCCCGGATGGGCATGCAACGACGCATCGATGCGTTGACTGACACTTTTTTTCATTGCGACTCTATAAAACTATTTTAATTTGACCAGGTAGGGCCCACTGAGCTATATAGCTCTTTTTCAGAAGTGACCTGGCCACAAATGGGTCGAGAGACATGCAAATTGCAAATATATACGGGCGTCAGGGTTGGGATCAAACCCACGACCTCCTGTATACCAGGCGAGGTAGTTAACATCTCATCACGGGGAGAGAGAGAGACACGCAAACTCCAAATATACAGCAGGCATTGTCAGGTTCAGGAGCAAACCCACGACCTCCTGTATACCAGGCGAGGTAGTTAACGTCTCACCATGGTGAGAGAGAGAGACACGCAAACTCCAAATATACTGCAGCCATCGTCAGGGTTGGGATCAAATTCACAACCTCCTGTATACCAGGTGAGGTTGTTAACATCTCACCACGGGGAGAGAGAGAGAGACACGCAAACTCCAAACATACAGCAGGCATTGTCTCAGGGTTCGGATCACACCCACGACCGCCTGTAGATCCGGGCGAGGTAGTTAACGTCTCGCCTTTGCGGGCCACACTTGTGCCTCACAGCAAGAAGGGCCTGGGTGTTCGATTCCTGACTCAAGCACCTGACTTCCGTGTGGAGTTTGTATTTTCTCTCCCTATTCTGCAACAGTTTACTCTGGGTTCTCCGGTTTCCCTCCCATAGTTAAATAACACGAAGTGTATATATAACTGGTATTGGCCAAACATCCCAATGATGAAAAATTACCTGCAAACTACTCAATTTGGATTACATGCAGCAGCAGCAGCGACATCGCCCCCGACTTTGAAAAGTCTTTGAGACTCAATGTGCATTTCCTGGGTAAACAAGCGTAGTAGTAAGTATAATGAAACTATTAATGCTGTTTGTCTTTCTGATCATTGCAAACCGATGGTCAGGGGTCGGGCAATCAAAATAACAAGAGACAATTTTTTTTTCGTTTTCAAGAGCGACAATGCACTGTGAATACGAAACGGTCCTGAATAAATAACGGTCGCGGACAGCCTGTCCGCCTGATGATGCAAGTTGTAATAACTGGCGAAACGCCGTTCTCAGATTGTAAATGTTGTGGATTTGCTCTCCAACACACCGGTGTGCTGTACTAGTAACGAATTGGCCACGTTCTCTTTACGTGGCAAACCAAATTGGCTGTGTCGGCTGGTGGCGGGTTTAACGACACACATTTATGCGGTCTAACCCGAAAAACCCCCGATATTACGGATGATATTGGTCACGAAAGCCTCCTGCCACGTGTTAAACTACCTTAAAGAGCCGCATGCGGCTCCCGGAGCCGCAGGTCGCCGACCTCTGCCTGTGATGGAGGGGATCAGAGGTCGAACTCGTATCGGATGGACCAAGATTAAACGGCCAGGGGCACGAGTAACGTGGGTCGCTTGCGTGTGTTTGCGGGTCGTGCCTTTCGATGTCACGAAAGCCGTCGCGACCTCCGCCCTCGGTCCTCTTGTGCGCAGTGCCGCACCGCTTAAAGGGACGCACGCGCCCCCAACACCGCCACGCACATCCCGAGGTCACGTCCGTGATGGAGAGCGACTGCAAGGGGAAACCCCAACGCCGACGCTCTTTCGATTTCGTCGTTCCGCGCCCAAACTCTCCGTTAGGCAGCAGGCAAACCGCTAAGGTCCTGTCATGTCATCGCAACGTTTGCCCGCTGTGTAATATTCTTTTTTTCGTGTGGGAGGCTCGCAATGAGTGGCACGAAATGCGCAGGAGCGAGTCACACCTGCTGCTGCTGTCATTTAATTTGTCTGTTTTCTCTCTTCTGTAACCACGCTTATTTGACCCGCGGCATGCCCTCCCCGGGTATGCTAGCCAATTAAAATGCCCATTAAAAATGTGCTTTTAATTGGGTGGAGAGAAGCGACAATCGCGGCGCAAACATTGAGCACAAAAAAGACGAAGATCCCAACTCGCCCGCCCCTTTAGCAGAATCCTGGGCCAGGAGGAGTTAGCGAGCACCTGTTGGAAGGCCGCCGTGGCGCGCGACAAGGTGGTGTCACCATGCCCACGCCCGGTCGCCTTTGTCTCCCTCCCCCCCCAGTGCTGATGTTTACACACCATGCCAGGTAATAATTTAAGGCAACCTCAGGGGAGACCCGGGACTGGCCTGCATATTACTCAGCCGATATTAGCCATGGGTGCAAATCGCTCAGGTCGCCGGTTTCGTAGTACAGTGCGCTAACCACTAAGCCACCGCTTCCCACAACCGGCATGAACACAAATGTATACATAGACACATATACACACACATACACAAAACAAAGATCCCCCATATATTCTTAGGTTTTTTCGGTAAAGTCACGTAGGTAAAAACATTAAAAAGTAAAATAAAATAAAAATCACGTCGTTTCGGAGGCAACACAAGCTTCCGTCTTCAGGTGGTACCGTCACAGCCACGACAGCTGTATCAAGTAAATGAGAGATTTCAGGAGCTACCACTCCGTTTATATAATGGTTGGAGAAGGTGGTGGGGCAAGGGCCGCATACTTATTAATATGGAAAGGTGAGGCTTAAGACTAAGAATAGACTGCATAACAAAGGCTGAGCCTTTGTTATGGAGAGGTGCGGTTTGTGACTCAACCTGTGACAGGGAGACCACCACTAAACATGGTAAAACTGTAATGGTTGTCTGTCAAATAAGATTGGCAAATAAGTGTAGTTAAATCTTTTTTGCATGGTTAATCACATCTTTCCAATGATTACTCAGTTTGTAACCGTCATTGGAATGATTACTCAGTTTGTAACCGTCATTGGAATGATTACTCAGTTTGTAACCGTCACCCACTCGTGTGCCGTGCCTGCCTCCAGAGGTGCTCGCAAACAGCACTTGCCCCAAGAGTCTGTTACGGCTGTAGGGGGGATGTTTGTGGGAAGTGGTGGTGCGAGTTCGATTCCCGCTCACGGCCAACACCAGTGATGAATATCTGAACTGGTCCTGGGCCTCCCGTAGGTCGACTCAGCCTTAAATGAGTACCTGGTGTGGTGTGTAAACATCGCCACTGGGGAGACAAAGGCGGTCCGGCATGGTGCTGGTCAGCCAACACCCCCTCTTGTACTGTCCCGCCCTTAATAGGTGCTCGCTAACAGCATCGCCCTGACAATCTGTTAAGGCTATACGGGGAGTATTTGTCGTTGTGCTCACGCTCTCAGCCAACACTCCAATTTGCCACGGTCATTTAAAACATCCAATTTCATTTAAACGTGAGAAAACAACCTTTAAAAGTGCCACGAAGCGCACATTAAATCGCGAGCGTGCCGTTGCACTCGATAAATTATTGGAATTTTACAAACGCGTAATTATTTTGAGCAAATTGCATTTTTACGTTATTGTAGATAAACACACATGGTGCCTTGTTTGTATTTTTGCCGAACTTAATGTCCAGAAATTTCAAACAAGAGTTTGGCGGAAACATTGCGAAGAGCGAACGTGCGCGTGGTGGTGGTGGTGGAGCGGCCGCGACGTTTTATTTGATGTCTGTGCAGCGGTCACGAGATTATCCCAGTGAGGCAGCGTGGCCTTGGGCACAGCCCAGAGCCCGGTTCGTGGTGACTTCGCAGCCTTCTCATTATTGACACCTCCGTCTTGTGTGTACGTGTGCACGTGTTGAACAGTTTGTGTTTTATGTTAGCGGGTAAGGCCCACTGAGCTATGTATTTAGCTCTTTTTCAGAAGTGACCTGGCTGACACAAATGATAGCCCAATGAAGTGGCTTATCATGTGGAAATGTATAGCAGCCAAATACTATTCAACAGCATGGTGAAGTTTGGTCAGACAAACCCCCATGGTGACAAGGCACGGGGAAGCCTCCACTCGGCAATGCATAGACAAGGGGCTGTCCATGATTAAATGATGGCCGGTGGTCGAGACTAACGACGGAGTGACAGCTAAAGGAGTGAACACTTTCGACGAGAGGCAGATGGAGCGATGAAATCGGCTCGTGTGCCGTCACTCGGTGGATCGTTGAGTCACGAGGCCGTGGGAGATGTACGTCCGTCGAACTTCTTTCACACCGGGCGTTTCCAACCGTGCCAAGCGGCGGTGCGGGGGGGAGAAGAACGACGAAACTCGACAAACTCGAGAAAGCAGCGCAAGAGAAGGAGCGGGAGCCCCTTCCGACCTACGGTTGTGGTGGAGCAGTGGTGCGGTGGTTATCGCGCTGTGCTGCGAACCCGGCCACCCGAGTTTGATTCATTTGTCTACGGCTAACATCACTCATGAGCGATATCAGACGCGGTCCTGGAACAGCCCCCTTCAGCATGCAACTGACCAGCGTGGTGAAGTATGATTAAACAAACAACAACAAACTCATGACATAGAACAACAGGAAGGCTTCCGTCCGTCGGTGGATTCAGAATGGCTGGAAGGATTTTTATTTATATTGCTACCCACAAATGTGTGTAACAGTGTTGCGTGAAATGTAACTCGATTCAGTTACTTTTGACAAACGTGATGTAATGTGGCTCATTTGAAGAGCAACAGGGTTCCCATGTTTAAGGGTTCATAAGTTCACATCCCAGCCGTGGTGCTTTCAGCATCAACATAGTCCGATGCTGGGTAAATGAGGGCCACTCGGTGAGCCTACCACTGCACTGGAGTGCACAATACTGTCTGGATGAGAAGCAGTGTGACGGTCAATCGTTAGCCGTAGCCTTATCCCAGAGGTCGCAAACGGGTTTTGATTCCTTACCCGTACTCGTACCTGGCCGCACCGTACCCGTACCCTACCCGATACCCGGCTACCCGTACCCGGCCGGGTATCGGGTAGGGTACGGGTACCCGATTGCGACCTCTGGGATGAAGCCATGTTGCAGGCGCGGGTGGGTTGATTCTAGGAACTTGAATTGTGAGAAGAGAAAAGACGTTGGGAAATGAGTAACAAACGGTTACTCACCAGTGACTCACGGCCTACCCGTACCCGGCCGCACCAGGGTCGCAAACGGGTACCCGGGTATCGGGTAGGGTACGGGTATCGGGTACCCGATTGCGACCTCTGCCTTATCCTCAGCTCCAAACCCTATTCATTCCCATCGTCCACATCCGTGGTTATGGTGCGCCTATTAACTCGCTCATTATGGTGTTCAGTGTCCTTAGGGAACTGATCGTAATCCAATCGTGAGTTTAACTTTTCGTAAAAGATGTGAATATGCTTATGCCTCAAAAGGACAGTGATATTTAGAAATCTACCTATTTTCAATGAGAAAACGTGTGCGTTTGTGTCATTCCTTCACGTGAAGTCGTGGTCACTAAAGCAAAGTTTGAGGGGAATAATATCCATTTTTTATACTTGAGGCATAAGCAATTAGAAAATAACACTTACTACCCAGGAACAAATATCGTGTTACATAGCGTAATGTTTTTTCTCTCTCTCTCTTTGTGTGTGGGAGTGACCGGAGGGAACGCACAACTGAAAGATAAAAATTAAATAGAAGAGAATGAAGGAATAGTGTATCTGTTCTAAAGCTACTTGATGTACTGCTTTATATAACGCCAACAGGTTGGGTATATCACATACAGCATGGTTCCATCTTCACCTGATCCACCAACCCTGGGCTCCAATATCCAGCAGCACAGGCCTGCATTATGACCACCGCAATGCTACAAATGCCAATTGTGCCTGTTGCAAGATATGACATATATTAGATGTTTTAAATCGTTTTTGAGCATACAAATGATTATGGGGTTTTTTTTGCTTGTGTGTGCAAGTTTTATATTTTTTTGTGTTTTTAGATTTTTAAAAATGTCTCCGTTGCCCAAAAGAGATTTGTCGCAATAGCCTCTCTGGTCTGATTACAAATATATTGATCGTAATCCACTTGCGTGAGCTTTGATTTACTTCTGGCATCGACAAATTCACTCTCACGTGCACACATTTGTGTGCGTGCGATCGAACAATACGACAGAGGAGTGTACGTTAAAGGAAGTTATCGTAATCAATTTCGACGACAGCCTCGGCCTGATTTTGTGCTCTCCGTAACTCGTCGGTGAGCTTTTGGTTCACGCAATGTAGGCACGTGTGTGATGCTGCGTGGACGTCGTGAACAAGAACAAACTCTCTGTTGAGTTACACGTATGCAGAACAGAGATTTCAAATGAAGCTTTAATGACTAATCGTTGCCTACCTATCCACCCTCATCTCACTCTACTCCCCTCCACACACTCTCCTACCTCTCCCCCTCTCATCTCACTCGTTTGGTGCCAACGTGATGCTTTAAAAGAATCGATTACGAGGGGCACCGATCAAATGTCTCGCATCCACGAACACAGGGAGCCTATTGATGATGAGTACATGCGCACCTAGATCATTGCACTACAATATCGGCGCGAATACCAAAAAATATACTTGTGATTTGGCAGGACCTTTCTTAAAAAGAGTCGTGAGACTCCTTGGTAAATAAGAAAACTTAAAAAATCTATTCATAATCAACGTTTTTGGGTTAGATCGCGTTAGCGTTATCGGGCAATTCGCCAGAATGGTGGCGAATTGCCCGATGATGCTGGATGCAATTACCAGCGGAACGTCGTATTGAAAAATTGTAAATGTCGTGGTTTCACGCTTCAACACACCGGTGGGCTAAAGCAGTGAACTATTTGTCTTTTGTCAACGTGACACTTTTTTGCTGATTGGCCGTGTCGGGTGGTGGAGGGTTACAACAAATTTATAAATAACGCGATCTAAACCCAAAAACGTTGATTATGAATAATATTGGTCGCGAAAGCCTACGTGTTAAACTTTTAAAAAAATCTAGTCTAATACGGCAGAGTGCCACCCGCTTGTATACAGCAGCGCGGTGCTGAGTTCTCTCCAGATTCACACATGAAGCCACCTCTCGATATTCTCAATCCGCCCACCAATGGATGAAGGTTTTCCCCCTCATCATCTCGATTGTTCAAGGGGGTGTTGTTTTGTTTTACCATTCTTCACCACACTGTTGAGTGCGAGTTGCTGAAAGAGCAGAGGGCAGTATACTCTTAGGTTTTTTCTGGTAAAGTCACGTAGGTAAAAATTTAAATAAATAATAGAGATGAAATAATAAATCACGACGTTTCGGAGGCAACACAAGTCTCCGTGATGATTATTTTATTTCTATTTATTATTTTTTTTATTTTTTTTCCTACGTGACTTTACCGAAAAAACCTAAGAGTATTAATCCTTGCAGTCACGAAAGCTTCAAATCGAGGAGAGGGCAGTGTCAGTTTTGATATCATTCGCCACTGATACTAGCGGTGCCACCGGTTCACCCTTAAACCTATCACAAAGAAAGACAAAGATCCCGCATATGTCCTGTAACAGGCTGTTGGGGCAAGTGCTGTTAGCGAGCACCTATGAAGGCCTGCGCGGCACACGAAGGAGGGTGAGTGGTCATGAACCAAACATCCCAAATGTGTGGCCCGTTGCCCTCCTCACGAAGAGTTTTCAGACTCGGTGCGTAGTAGTTTTGTGGAAATAATTGGCGTTTATAATATTGCCGTTACGAATGATTATTGAAAACACTGTTTTCGGACAAATGCTTGGGGTCACGTGGCTGCATGGTAGTAAACTCACTAAGTCATTGTTCGCTGATTTTCAGGGCTGCCACACATTTGAAAACCATTGGGGGTTTGACAGCTCGATGATGATGATGGGGTGGTAATATCTTGATTTTAAGCTTTCGTGACTGCAGGAATCCATACTCTTTGGTTCTTTCTGTAAAGTCACGTCGGTAGAAATCAAACATTTATTTTATTTATACCTACGTGACTTTACCGATAGAACCAAAGAGTATGAAAGTCACGTAGGTAATTTTTTTTACGTGCCTTTACCGAAAGAACCAAAGAGTGTATGATGGGGTGGTGGTGTCACTCGCTATGTATTGTCGGGGGCCGCACGAAGGGCCACCAGGGGTCGCCAGTAACCCGCGGGGACCTTGCGATGAAGAACGCCGCACTCTGCTGGACACCTCTGGCTCTGGGAGTTCCAAATTCTGGGAATGTTCATGAGGTCAGCAGAGGGCAGTAAAGCTCCACTAGAAATCAGACGACACCTGCTCTATTGAAGGGTGTGCATGACAACAACCCTTTGCAGCTCCTTGCCGTTAATATTCTCACAATTCCAGTTATATGAGAAATGTTTTTTTTATAATTAAAATCCTCTTTGCCAGTCTATTACTGGATACAGCCCCCCCTCCCCCCCCATACTTCAACCAATCTGGAACAGCGGCGTGGGTTAGAAAAGTCGTGGATTGTCCGGGACCACGATCCGATATCAGTGGCGACTGATGTTGGCCATGCTCAGGAGTCGAACTCGGGTGGCCGAGTTGCTCGCACGGTTCGCTAATCACCGCCCCACCACTCACAAGCGACCTCCCCTCCCACCACGTGTGCGCAAGTCTTTGCCATCGTCAATTTCCTCGGGCATTAGGCAATTAAGCTAAAAGGCAAACTATTACATTTCCATTCTGCCATTAATCTACTTAATGGTTTTATAAAGATATTTAACAACCCTCGCTGGTGATGGATGGAATGCAGTGACATCGCAAATCCAAGTTAATACTCGCAAGCTGACTATGGAAGCTTACGGCGCTATAAACACATTCCTGCGGAGGGAGCTGGTAGGAACGTTGGGTTGCTCGGTCAATGGCCAGGGTCAACGGTGGCGTGGTGTATTCCGCAAATATGGCCGACTGAGGGCGTGAGTAGGTTAAACGTTGAGTTTTATAAGGGCACCACGGGGTGACCAGCCCCTCCCCACCCAGCCCCACCCCTCCTACCCCCACCCAGCCCCACCCTCCCCACACAGCCCCTCCCCACCCAGCCCCTCTCCACCCAGCCCCTCCCTGCACGACGGACACAATAATACCCTGTGGGCTGGTGTAACCAGGAGGTTCCTACCAGTATAATAACCTCTTCTCCACACGTGCTGCGGACACAAAACACGGTGACATGTTTCGCCTTCCGTTGTGCGACCTTGTGGTTGTTTTTTTCTCCCTTCCTCTCGACGTCGTCTCTCCACGTTTCAGTCGCCAAGCGGTTGCGCCGCTGCGTAAAACGCGCATCGGTTTTTCTCTCCCTCTCTTCTTCCCCGGTAAATGACTTAAATCATCGTACTCGTGCTTTTCCGACGAATCTCTCTGCTACAATTGCACTGTGGGGGCCGGACAGAGACAACGATGTGGTGGTGGGGGGGGAGATGGTGGGGTGGGAGGAATCTGCTGAGCTGGCTTCCTTTTTTGTGCTGAATTTTGCTTTTTTTATCTTACAAATTGCTCCGCATTCATCGCGAGGATGGGAGGCTTCTGGGAGTGGTCGCGTTGCTTTGTCAAATGCAAAGCCACACCCCCCGTCCCCCCCCCTTCTCTTCGCCCCCCCCCCCGCCGCCCCGTCCCCCCGCCCCCACCGTTCTCTTCGCCCCCCGTCCCAACATTCAGTGTGGCGTAAAATCGGAATCTGTTCCTTCACGAACCCACACACACCAACAAAACTGAGCATTTTCTTAATTTTTATCTAAACGAAACCATTTTTTTTTATTTTAGCAGGAAAGGCCCACTGAGCTATATAGCTCTTTTTCACAAGTAACCTGGCCACAAATGATATCCCAATGAAGTGGCTTATCACGTGGAAATTTATGGCATCCAAATCTGGCTGTGACGGTCCCTCCTGATGACAGAGACTTGTGTTGCCTCCGAAACGTGAGTTTATTATTTTATTTTAATTAATTTTAATTTCATTTTTTTACCTACGTGACTTTACCGAAAGAACTAAGAGTATGAATCATTGCAGTCACAAAAGCTTCAAATCTAGAATCCAAATACTCTTCAACAGCATGGTGAAGTATGGTCAGACAAACCCCCATGGTGACAAGGCACGGGGAAGCATCCACTCGGCAATTCATAGACAAAGGGCTGTACATGATTAAATGATGCCTGGTGGTCGAGACTACCGACGGAGTGACAGCTAAAGGAGTGAACACTTTCGACGAGAGGCAGATGGAGCGATGAAATCGGCTCATGTGCCGTCACTCCGTGTATCGTTGAATCACAAGCCCGTGAGAGATGTGCGTACCTTGAACTTCTTTGTCACAGTACGTAGACAACACACTAAACACAAATAGCAGTTCTCAAGAAATGAGTTTACAATCTATATTTCAACGTGCATAGCTCCAGTGGCTTCCTAATATCGGAAGGAAGAGCGTTCCAGACGGCCGCAGATGCACAAAGATGGCGAAAGCTTGGAGAGGCTTTCATGCAACGGTGGATAGATCATGGCTGATGATGGCATTTAAAATCGCACGCCAATGCTGTTCACATACGGTCACGTGCGCGGTGTTGTGGAGCTGATGTGCGTCTGTGATGTGGCCACCACCTGTTGACAGATGGCGTTGTAGCTCGCCTGTTCATTGCGTTATCGTCTTTGTGGTTCAGCCCCGACACAAACACTACCCTGACCACGAGCACGGGCAGCAGCTGGAGGAGGAGGAGGATGCAATGCAGTCTCGACTTGTGCTGAAATGCAGAAGCAATACGTGCGCTTACAATTTGTATCTTTGTTGAACTTCATTCGCGCCGTACGTTTAGAGCAGTGAACGCTTTTTTTTTACCACGACTCGCACGCGCAGTGGTGACACTTGTGCCTCGCAGTAGGAAGGGACCTGTGTTCGATTCCCAACTGAGGCACCTTTCTGTGTAAAATTTGTCTATTCTCTACCTATTCTGTAAAGTCACGTAGAAGGGAAATAATAAAATAATACAAATATAAAACAATAAAAATTCTCACGACGTTTCGACTGCAACACACGCAATCGTCATCAGGTGTGAAATCCACAGCAAGAACATTTTCATGATCTATCCACCGTTGCACAGCAAGAACATTTTCTTGCTGTGGATTTCACATCCGATGATGATTGCTTGTATTGCAGTCGAAACGTCGTGAGAATTTGTATTGTTTTATATTTGTATTATTTTATTATTTCCCTTCTACGTGACTTTACCGAAAGAACCAAGAATATGAATCCCTGCAGTCACGAAAGCTTTAAATCAAAATTTATTCTCTACTTGTTTCGCATGACTTTCCTCCGCGTTCTCCAAATTTCCTCCCACAGCTAAAAATAAAACCCCGCATACGATGGAAGTGGTATTGTCAAAAGGATCCCAATGCGGAAAAATAATAGGGCTTCCCTGGTTGAGCAGGCATACTGATTAAAATATATATTAATTATAATAACATTAATTAAATTTCCTTATCTGGAACCGATCGTATTCGCGTATCTGTAGTCGTTATTTTCCGCTTTTTCCCATCGGCATTCAATGAAGGAAGCTCTCCTCCTATGAACATTGACACGGCTAAACCCACAGCAAGGGGCCTGGTTAAAAGCAAAGTCAAGTGGCGTTCCACATCTGGGAGCGTGGCTATATATATATATATTTACATCGGCACGGTGACGCTCGCCAATGTCTGGTACTAGGCTTTCGTCCTCGTGCTCATTGTTCAACTCCTTCCCCACACGTTTATCCTCGCTGTGCTTGTCGGCGTCGCGTCGTGAGACGAGGAATTAAATTCGGATCTCTCACGGGGCATTGCAACCCCTTTTTTTCGCGATTTGAGCAACGGCCCCGCAGAAGCGGATATCACTGAGCTGCGTCTGAGACCCCTTCAAAAATGCCACTGAGAGTACAGTTCACCAAATGGCAGTCGAACCGATTTTTTATTTTATTTTGTGCACCATCATTTATCCAAACCGAGTACCGCACGGAACCAAATTTAATATGATTGTTATTTTGTGCATTCATCGGTGACCGGACTGAGATCGTCAACTCGCTCCCATTCAGAACCCAGCTTAATCACGGGGCACCTGAAACTTGAATTCAAACCCAGGCCCTCAGCCCTTGCAGCCCCCTGCGTCTCCCGAACGCTTAAGGCCGCCCGATCGCTTCTCACGCGAGCGTCCCCCTCCTTCGGGCTCATCGGCACAGCGCGGCGGTGAGTTTGCAATATCCACGGTGCGTGCTGGCACGGCGGGATGCTGTTCAGTGACGGGATGTTACAGTGCCATAGTCGAGGCTGGGCTTGGCTGGTTTTCAAAAGAATCTCCGTGTGCAGCACCGCCGCAGTACGGAAACGCCCGACACAGCCTGTGCCAGATGCCATAAGCTAATTGACATTGCAAGGCTGCTTTGCGGCACTCTGGCTAATTGGCTTTGAAAATGGGCCCATCCCCTTGTGAGCCCTATGGCTCTTTTTTTTTTGCGTGCATTTGCGAGTTCGAATTCTGTCTTTCGCGGCCGGGCTTCCTCTCTTCCGGTGTCCGTCTTTATAAATCCACTCGCACGCCTCCTATACTACAGCTCCCACGAGACTCCTCCAACCCTCCTCTGTTTTATAGACCAGTATTTGTATTTTTTTAAATAGAAACGACCAATAGCTGTGCCTATATGAAACGGTGTGGAGCGGTGGGACAATGGTTAGTGCAGTGCGCTGCGAGCCCGGTGGCCTGAGGTTGGTTCCCGATCACGGCTAACATCAGTGGCGAGTAATATCTGAACCGATCCTGGAAGCCCCCACTCCCGCCCACTCCCATACCCCCCACCACCCCTGTTCACCAACCAGCGTGATGAAGTATGGTCAAACGACTCCCATGACCGCGCACTCCGTGACACTTTAAGCATGTGTAGTGACATATAATGGGTCACTGCGGTGCCTAGCGCCATCTACGGACAGAGAGAGGACCAGTGGGTATAGTAGCCCTCTCTGCCAGCAGAGTATATGATGTCATGGAAGAGGTCTCTGGGGCTGGCAGAGTAGGGGGCAATTGAGGACGCAGTAGCCCGATTGGCCGGCAGGGGCACGTGATGGGATGTAGGCCAAAGGTGACAGAGGGGACACGCATTGTAGGGTCCAGAACCTTCTAGTGAGTTACAGAAGGGGGCGTGGCCAGAGGGCGGAGCCAGGCAGGGGACACGTGGAAGGCGATCCAGAACCTTCTAGTAGGTTCTGGATGGGGGCGTGTCCGAGGGCGGAGCGGGGCCACGCTGAGGGGCATAAAAGGGAGGTCCCGGAGCTGCATCGAGGCTGTCTGCTGGAATGGAACTCGCCGTGCTACATCTTCTCTTCGGTCTTCGTGCTCGGCATCGTGGCTCAGGCAGTGTGCCGACTGACCTGACCCGTTTGTGTAGTTACCCCGTGTTGGTTGTAGAATAAATTGTGTTGCCTCCTGAATCAGTGTGTCTCTCAAGTGAACCCACTACGCAAGTATCGCAAGGCTTCTAAAGACCGCACACGCGCACACACACAATGGTCATTCAGGGCCCTCAAAGTGGCGGGCTCAGCCGGACACAAATCGCGAGATTAACTTGTGGCGGCGCGAGACCACCAGGTGGGGGTTCAGGGCCATGCCGGGAAGAATTTAGGACGGCTTTGTGTCTGTGCGAGACACGAGACGAGACGGAGATGAAGCCGTGAATTTGAGAACCCTTTCAGGTTCGTGATATCGTTCGGACAGCCAAGGAATGTGGGCTTGGGTGGGGACGTCGCTTGTGTGAGGGATGATGGAAGGTGACCATCAGTAAAGATCGTGGGTTCGGCCATGGGATGGAATTGCGCACGAGAAGATCGCCCGCCGAGGAGATGAGAATCAGAATCCTTATTTATTGCTGGAGGAATCCGATGAGCTTACAAGGCTCTTTTTCACAGACGTTTGGAGGAGATGGAGCGACGGTGACGGTGGGTGCCGTGTGGATGTTATCACACGGCGGGGTCGTGAGTGGAATGGCGACGGCTTTGGGAGGCCCTTCATCCAGCAGTGGATTGACCATGGCTGATGATGATGACGATCATGATCATGATGGTTATACAGGAAGTACCGGAAGTAAGAGGGCGCGTCGTGACACGCACTCGCATGCGCGAGGCCTGAGCAGACGACTGTCACTTGAGCAGACTCGTCCCAAAAGGTTTTTGGAGGCCTGGGGCAAAAAATGTCCGGTGAGACCTCGCCTTGAGGGGCCAGGCTCCGTCAACACTTTGTAGGGGGCCCCTCGGATCCGGAGGCCCCACGTGCCTAGCTCCCCAACCTCAACTGTGTAAGCTCTAGAATGTGACCGCTATGCCTTTATTTGTTTTCCCTCCACTTTTTTTTGCACGTTGATGACAGCGGTGTTCCAGACAAGGGTGGCGTATATTGTGATTATCCATAAAGGAGGTGTTTGGGTTGGATCGCGGGTAACATTGATCGCGAAAGTCCACGTGCTAAACTACAGGGGTGCTTCAAAGAAATGTTAACACTTTTTGGGACTATCGTTTTTAATGGAAAAATAACGGATAATTCACTCTGACATGATGACAAATGTAACGTTAACAGCTTCAAAAAGTCAAAGAGTCTCCCACTTGTTCGCCATCGTTGTCAACGCGTGCCTGGAATCTTCTCCAGGTGGTCTCCAGAGCCCGGAGGCAGCAGTTATTGCAAATTCTCAAAAGTGTTCACATTTTGCTTTGAAGCATTATGATAATGATGGGAAGAAGAATAAGAACAAAAACCCGGAGAAAGTTAACAAACCACACTGGGCATAGTTGACTTAAGTAAGTTAGGGTTGGGATGGAGTTGGGCGAGGCAAACCAGCCAGCCAGCCGGACACACGGGTAGACAAACACACAGTCGCAGGGAGACTGAACCGCTCAGCTGATTAAATTGGAGGGTCCCCACCACCCCCCCCCCCTCTGTCATTTGCAATCCAGCCCGCGATACGAGATGGCAGCTGCATATATAAGCGAGGGGGCTGAGGCGGCTGGCTCCAGAGCGCAGTGTTCGCGGTGCACGGACGAAGGGTGGTTTTGTTTTATTTTTAACACCGGGGCTCAGATACAACGCTTTAATTTGTTGACATTACGCGAGCGTCATCGCGTAACAGAGCGCAACGGACGCACGGACAACGTTCGACCCGGTCACAAGCGGAGCGTGGATCGCGATTCGTTTTGTGGGGAGCGCAGTTGGCGTTGTGATGGTGCCCTGGACAGTGACGCTGCCGATCTGCTGAGTCTGTTCGATTTTGCCCGGGCGCGCCTCCAACATCGTCGAGATCTGCAGCGGGTAAGGTCCCTGGGATTTCTCTCACCCACCCAACCCTCACCACCGAACCCTCGCCAAGCCGCAGTGACCCAGGGCGGTGAGGGTGACGGTCAAACAACCTCCGCGGAGGGGTGGCACGTCTTTGGAGAGGGAGGAAGACTTTCACTCCGCCAGCGGGTTGATTGACAGACAGGGGAGGGGGGGAGTTGGTTTGCTGGCGAGTAGCTGAGTGGGTGAGGGTTGGTGGGGAGCCAGACGCCTGCCGCTCGGAGTAGTGGCTAGCGAGGCAAGGTGTGAGCGGTGTGTGGGGGGGGGGGGGCGACAGTGACGCGTGTCTCGGATGGGGGTGGTGCCACAAAGCTGCAGGTACGCAGGGTAGACCAGGCGGACAGGTAGATCAGACGCGGACAGGTAGACCAGGCGCGCGTGCACAGGTGAGCGCGAGAGGGGCAAGAGAGGCGAAGCGGAGAGAAGCGAGGGAGGAGGAACGGGCGGAACTGCTCAATGCAACGTGCGCGCACAGGTATGTAGGTGTGTGTGTGTGTGTGTACTATTATCTGCTACTATTATCTGTGGGGAGCGGTAGTGTAGCGGTTAGCGCGCTGCGCTACGAACCTGGCGACCCGGGTTTCGATTCCCGCTCACGGCAAACACCAGTGACGATTATTATCTGTAAACATCGCCACTGGGGAGACAAAGGCGGCCGTGCGTGGTGTTGGCCACCCAACCCCCTCGTGTGCCGTGCCGGCCTGTATAGGTGCTCGCTAACAGCACTTGCCCCTGCAGTCTGTTAAGGCTAAACGGGGGGTCGTTGCCTTTAACAGGGACTTGTGTGTGTGGGGAGCGGTGGTGCAGTGGTTAGCGCACCGCGTGACGAACCTCCCGGTCGCCTGGGTGTGATTCCCCTCTCACGGCCAACATCGGTGACGAATTTCTTGCTCTTATCCTTGGCCCCTCGCCTAGGTTGACTCGGCCGCAAATGAGTAAATGGCATGGCGTGTAAACGTCTCCACCGGGGGAGACAAAGGCGGCCGGGCGTACGGAGTGTTGGCCCCTCGCCCCCTCGTTGGGGTGGCCTTCATAGGTGCTGCTCGCTAACAGCACTTGCCCCAACAGTCTGTTAAGGCTACACGGGGTACCTTTGTCTTTGTGTCTCGGTATGTGTCTAGGCGTGTGTTCTCTGAATGCACTGGCCCCAACTGTCTGTGAAGGCTACACGGGGTGTCTTTGTCTTTGTGTCTCGGTATGTTTCTAGGCGTGTGTTCTCTGAATGCACTTGCCCCAACAGTCTGTGAGGGCTACATGGGGTATCTTTGTCTTTGTGTATCGGCATGTGTCTAGGCGTGTGTTCTCTGAATGCACTTGCCCCAACAGTCTGTTAAGGCTACGTGGGGTATCTTTGCCTTTGTGTATCGGCATGTGTCTAGGCGTGTGTTCTCTGAATGCACTTACCCCAACAGTCTGTGAAGGCTACGCGGGGTATCTTTGTCTTTTTGTATCGGCATGTGTCTCGGCGTGTGTTCTCTGAATGCACTTGCCCCAGCAGTCAACGGTGGCTTTGCAGGGGATGATTGAATATCGGTGTGTATGTTGTGTAAGTATGTATGTGTGTATGGGGAGCGGTGGCGTAGCGGTTAGCGCGCTGCGCTACGAACCCGGCCACGCGAGTTCGATTCTCACTCACGGCCAACACCAGCAATGATTGTTTGAACCGCTCCTGGGTCTCCCCTAGGTCGACTCAGCCTCAAATGAGTACCTGGTGACGATGTGTAAACATCGCCACTGGGGAGGCAAAGGCGGCCGGACGTGGTGTTGACCACCCACCCTCCACCCCCTCGTGTGCCATTCCAGCCTTCATTATGGTTCTAGATTTGAAGCTTTCGTGACTGCAAGGATTCATACTCTTAGGTTTTTTCGGTAAAGTCACGTAGCTAAAAATAAAAATTAATAAAAGTAATAAATAAAAATAAAATAATAAATCACGACGTTTCGGAGGCAACACAAGTCTCCGTCATCAGGTGGGACCGTCACAGCTAAATTTACTGTATCAAGTGACAGTAAATCTAGCTGTGACGGTCCCACCTGATGACGGAGACTTGTGTTGCCTCCGAAACGTCGTGATTTATTTTTATTTCTATTATTACTTTTATAAATTTTAATCTTCATTATGGTGCCACTCGCGAACAGCACTTACCCCACCAACAACAATCCTGCTCAAGGCTATACGGGTGACCTTTGTCTGTGTCTTTATCAGGGGTCGCCGAGTCTCCCATCTCCTGCAAAACGACCGCTCGACCATGCCCGCGGCGTCACCGCGTGCGCTGCAACTGCCGTTGTTGCTGCTCCCGTTGCTCCTGCTGACGATGTCCTCGGCTGAGCAGCAGCAGCAGCAGCCGTGCTATGAGGGCACCCTGCAGCGGAGACAGCGCACGGCCACCGTTGTGCTCACGGGCACGGTGGAGGACTTCTTCAACGAGAGGCCGACGCAGCGAACCTTTGGCTGCAGGGTGAGCGAGCGGATCTCGGTCGCGCGCGCGAGAGGGCGGGGGGGAGCGTGAAATCTCTCGTGAAATATTTCATTTAAAAAGGGGGGTGGGGGGGGTTTTACATAAAGCAAAGCATAAAAAAAACAAAAAAATCGAAATGATGAACGAAACGACTACACCGAGCATCTTCTTGTTTCCTCTGATCGTAAAAAAAGAGAGAGGCGAGGAGGAGGAGGGTCTGTGCGTCGTGGTGTCAGTTCTGGTAGTGGTGGTGGTTGGTGGTGGTTGTCGTGGAGTCCGGTCTCATCAGGGGGTGCCACGGTGGCCAGATGTTAACTACCTCGCCTGGTGTACAGGAGTTTTGATCCCGACCCTGACGCATTCCTGGGAGATGTGACAAAAAAAGCTACACGTTAACAGCAGATGAGCCATCGCGTAAAAGATTTCGTTTTTTTAAATCTCCATGCCCATCCCCACCCATTTGTTACTTCATCGGCGTAATCATCATCAGCCTTGTTAAATCCATTTGTGGATGAAGGCCTCCCCCCAAAGCCTGCGGCTACTTCTCACGATCTTGCTCCTTACACGTGAACCGATCTCATCGCTCCATCTCCTCAGTAGGCATCCTCTTGGAGGCGTTCCATTCATTGGCATGCCTGTAGGATGAGATGCCACGGTGGCGAGATGTTAACTACCTCGCCTGGTATACAGGAGTTTTTATCCCGACCCTGACGCCTGCTGCTGTACATTTGGAGTTTTCATGTCTATCCCTCTCCCCGTGGTCGCGTGGCTTTTTCTCCGGATCCTGCGGGTTTTTCCCTCCACACTTGGAATCAACGTGTGTTTCAGAGTACTTGACTGAAACATTTCCACGCGACAATGATAAACCAGGTCGCTTCTGAAAAAGAGTTACATAGCAGCTCAGTGGGACCTTAGTTCTTGCGCATGATGGCAGTGGCGATACGTTCAGCGGCTAGATGTCAACGTCCAAGACCTGCTGATGGCCACGACGAGAAGGCTTCAGCAGAGAGAGAGAGAGAGTTCGTGTCGTGTCGCTGTTCCTCCTCCGTTGAAGGAACGCAGACCACAGTCGGTTTACTGATCGGGTCCATAGCTCGGATTGCATGGCCCGCAATCACACTGATGTGGCTTGTCTTTAATGTATCTCTATGGGTCTCTGTGAGTCTCTGTATCTCTATGTGTTTCTATATATGTGTGTATCTTTCTCCGCGTCTCTATGAGTCTATGCATCTCGATGTGTCTCTATGGGCTTACTGTGTGGGTCCATAGCTCGGATTGCATGGCCCACAATCACACTGATGTGGCTCGTCTTTAATGCATCTCTCTATGCGTCTCGTTGAGTATCTATGGGACTTCATCTTCTTTGGTTCTTTCGGTAAAGTCACGTAGATAGAAAAAAAGAATGATGAAAATAAAAGACACGACGTTTCGATCGCAACACAAGCGGTCGTCATCAGGATGACGTTGCGATCGAAACGTCGTGGTTTTTTTATTTTTTTCTATCTATGTGACTTTGCCGAAAGAACCAAAGAATATGAATTCCTGCAGTCACGAAAGTTTTAAGTCAAAATTCTCTACGGTTCTCTATATATCTCACTGGGTCTCTATTTATATCTATGGGTCTCTGTGTATCTCTGTGTATCTTTATCTTCTTGCGGATGGCGATACGTTCAGGGGCCGAATGCCAATGTCGAGGTGCTGCTTCTGGTCACGACGAGAGGGCTTCAGCAGAGAGAGAGAGAAATATTCTTAGGTTTTTTCGGTAAAGTCACGTAGGTAAAAAAATTAAATTAATAAAAGTTAAATAAAACTTAAATAAAAATCACGACGTTTCGGAGGCAACACAAGCTTCCGTCTTCAGGTGGAACCGTCACAGCACGATTGCTGTATCAAGTGAGAGAAATTCCAAGAAAACAGTCCTTGTATATATACTGGTTGAGGGTGGGAGGAGCCAAGGTAGGCCCTTAATATTATTTTTGTGAGGTTCGGTGCGGCTGAAGCACGCATTCTTAACTTTTATTAATTTTAAATTTTTACCTACATAACTTTACCGAAAAACCCTAAGAATATGAATCCTTGCAGTCACGAAAGCTTCAAATCTAGAAGAGAGAGAGAAAGTTCGCGTCATGTCGCAGTTGCTTCTCTTCCACGGAAGGACTGCAGGCCACAGTGGGTTTACTATAAGGTCTCTATGTATCTCTATGTATCTCTATGTGTCTCTATGTTGTCTCTGTGGGTTTAATATACGGGTCCATAGGTTGAGTTGCATGGCCCAGAATCGCGCTGCTGTGTGTTCGTAGCAGGGTTTTAATTTGCTTGGTCGTGGCTGTACATGGGATTTTGGTCCTCACGTGAAATTTACGTAAGGGTGCCATTAGCGCGAATGGCGCTACCTAAAATTCAAGTGTCATGAATATTGAGTCTTTAATTTTCCATTCACGAAGGAGATGGGGCGCAGCGTCGGCCTGCTGTTGATGTTGTCATGCGGTTTATGTTCACACCACCGGTGCCTTCGAGGAGATGGATGAGGAACGTTCAAGCTGGGAGGGTTGCGATGTTTGGGGTCTCAAATGAGGTGTTTACCGTGAACGTCCGCATGGGGTAAACCCTCTGTTGTGTACACACACCCAGACACCATAATCTCACTCCAGTCACTCTCTCGCTCACTGGCAATCGGCCACCTCCCTGTCACTCTTCCGTCGCTGCTTCCGCGATTTACCGTTCCCGTGAACTTCACACTTTGATCCCTCGATTCACCCGCGTTGATGACTGTGTCCACCAGACCGACTGTCTCATCTCGCCCACCGGGTTCAACCACCACACCGCTGGCCACAACAGCTCACTCACTCATCCACTCACCACACCGCAGGACAACTCACAACTCAGTCACCGACTCACTCGCTCATTCACTCATCCACTCAGCAAACCGCAGGACAACTCACAACTCAGTCACGGACTCACTCGCTCACTCACTCATCCACTCAGCACACCGCAGTACAACTCACAACTCAGTCACCGACTCACTCGCTCATTCACTCATCCACTCACCACACCGCAGGACAACTCACAACTCAGTCACCGACTCACTCGCTCATTCACTCATCCACTCAGCAAACCGCAGGACAACTCACAACTCAGTCACCGACTCACTCGCTCATTCACTCATCCACTCAGCACACCGCAGTACAACTTACAACTCACTAACCAGATCATTCGCCCACTCATTCTCTCACTCACTCACCCACTCACTCTTTCGCTCACTCAACCGTTCACTCGCTCATTCACTCATTCACTCAGCACACCGCAGTACAACTTACAACTCACTAACCAGATCATTCGCCCACTCATTCTCTCACTCACTCACCCACTCATTCTCTCGCTCACTCACCCACTCACTCGTTCGCTCACTCAACCGTTCACTCACTCATCGACTCACCACATCGCAGGAAAAACTCACTCACAACTCAGTCACGGACTCACTCGCTCGCTCACTCACCCACCCACCCACTCGCTCGTTCACCCGTTCACTCACTCGTTCACTGACCCACTCACTCATTCACCCACTCTCTTACCCACTCACTCACCAGCTCACCACACTGTGTCCAACCACCACACTGCAGGTCACAGCGTTTCTCTCTCTCTCTGCTGCTTCACTCTCACCGCTCCACTTTGCAATTCCCCCTCCCCCCGCTTCTTCCCCGCAAACTCCTATAACCCTGCTCAAGTCAAGGCATATGTTCACTTTGAGAGTGCTGCTCATTGCTGAACGTATAACGTTGACGCCCTTTGGGCCTGTCGCTCATATACTGTAAACAAAAAAAATACACAAACACACGGATGTGTACCTATAAACAAAGACAAAATCCCCCTTAAAGCCTTAACAGACTGTTGGGGCAAGTACTGTTAGCGAGCAGCAGTACCTATGAAGGCCGGCACAGCACACAAGGTAGTGGGTGGCCAGCACCACGCCCGGCCGCCTTTGTCTCCCCAGTGGCGATGTTTACACACCACGCCACGTACTCAGTTGAGGCCAAGTCGACCGAGAAACACACACCTGGGCACGCGTCTCCACACACACACGTCCACCGCCGCTTTTGGCTCCAGGGTGAGCGGGCCCAGCTGTGGCTTCTATTTGGATCTGTGGCGTCCGTGGCCTCACGAATCTAAGGCCCCCCTTGAACCACTTGGGGCCCTCAAGCGTTGTCTTGGCCCGCGTATGCCACGCGCCGCCGCCGTGCGTGCGTCAGGGTTCTTGCTCGACAACAGCAACAGGGCCTCGGCCGTGTTGGTCGGAGTTTGGGCCACTTTTATTAGGCCCAGGATAAGGGTCGCGATTGTTTTTTGCCGCTCACCGGGGCTAAGGGTTTGCGTCCGGTCGAAGGAACGCGCTGGGGGTTGTGTCCCGGTGACCCAGCTGACCCTTGAACCTTGCTGCCCGAGTTCAATTCCCAGTCACGGCTGACAGTCGTCGATGGCGATTTGATATCTGAACCGATTCTGTTGCACCCACACCGCGCCCCCCCCCCCTTCCAGTTCAACCCTCACTAACCAGCGTGGGGATATATGCTCACACAGACGCACCCCCCCTTGCCCCCCGATAATCAATCGAATACATCCACAGGGGTGCGAGACACGGACAGATTTTTTTTGGAGGTACGTCATCGAAGCACAAATTAAGCACGAGCACGTGTTCAGAACCACTGCTCTAAACGCACGTTTCTAAATGTGGAGGGGAAAACCGGAAGACACAGAGAAAAATCCACGCGACCACGTGGAGAAAGAAACTCTAAATATACAGCAGGCATCGTCAGGGTTGGGATCGAACCCACGACCTCCTGGATACCAGGCGAGGTAGTCAACATCTCCTAGCCACCGTGATGATGATGATGAGAGAGACACACAAACTCCAAATATACAGCGGGCGTCGTCAGGGTCGGGATCAAACCCACGACCTCCTGTATACCAGGCGAGGTAGTCAACATCTCCTAGCTACCTTGGCG